CTGAGCCTCTCAGAAGATCAGCAGTTCAAATCCCCACAGGGGGTGCGCTCCCATTGCTCTGTCCCAGCTCCTGCCAACCTAGTAGTTCTAAAGCACGCCAGTGCAAGTAGATAAATAGGTACCACTGTGGCGGGAAGGTAAACAACATTTCCGTGCACTCTGGTTTCTGTCACGGTGTCCCGTTGTGCCAGAAATGGTTTAGTCATGCTGGCCACATGACCTAGAAAGCTGCCTGTGGACAAATGCTGGCTCCCTTGGCCTGAAAGCAAGATGAGGACCACAATCATAGTCGCCTTTGATTGGACCTAACCATCCAGGGGTCCTTTACCTTTATCTTTTACATATTTTTTCATGTTGTAAGCTGCCTTGAGCATGGTTTGAACTGTGGAAAGGTACATACAAATAAAATTATGTATGTATGTACATTAAAGGGGTAGATGCTAAAATAATTTGTATGATGCCATTGCCCCTTGAGATGAACCACAGACAAAACAAGTGGGGTTTATACAGGGTCTTTTGGTAATCCTAGGTGAGTTTACTGTTGAAAAGGTGACAAGCCCAACTTGTAAGGGAGGTGCAATTGTCGCTGAGATGTGATGTCACCAGCTGTTGAGGTAAAAAATACAGTGGTGTGACAGATCGCAAAGTAAAGCTACAAATTTATAGCAGTTGCTGTGGTGTAAAATAACTAATCCCTGCACTTAAATGGTTCTGTTAAGCTGCCTCAGTGGGTTGTAATGATTAGAATCGGAACAAGTGTGGTTTTACGTATGATAAAAAAAATGTCATTAGTTTTCTTGCAGCAACGATTATGAATACGGACGGAGGCATGTAATATTTCAGTTCCCATTAAGAATGCCTGTTTGCAAATTAAAGGTTGCTGCAGTAGGTGTTTTTGGCTGGCGAGGTTTAGCAGTTTAAGGAGCCAAGAATGTAAGGAAGCTGAGGTTATGTAAGGGCTTCTGTGTATGGCTGAGATGCAACCCTCTAGCTCTCAAAGCTTCCTTTATCAGGGAAGCCTGGTTAGGGTGTTGTGTATTTAAGCATTTGTGTTGTGGGGGTACATTTTTGCAGGCCGAATGCCGCATTTCTGCCTTGGCAACCTTGCAAGAGCCACGCGACGGTGGTGGGAGGGGCCAGAGGCAAAAGTGGGCGGAGCAACTCGTCCGAATTTTACCTTCGCACAGAAAGCTAGTTACTCACACTCACATACCTCTGCATTTCCCACCCAGAGAAGCAAGAGGCATTTTCAGAGTCCAAGGACACATTCTAGGCAGGTACAAATGCCCAAGGAGGATGGAAAGCAGGACAAGGGAGGGGTGAGACATGAGAGGAGTTGCGGCCTTCGGAGACTCCCCAAGACCAAACAGAAAGTCCTGGGGCTCGTCCGCACTGGAGTTTACTGTGTGTTCCCAGCTGTTTGTGTTCCCGTTTAATTTGCATCGTCCACATTTTGCATTGTCCGCCAACACCGGCCTCAGCGCTTTCCCCCTATAAATCCAGTCAGATGGGGAAAACCAGGCTCCAAACCTCTCCATTTGGGCCTCACACAATTTGTTTTAGTGTTTTGGGTAAATGGATCAATTTCTGCTACACCCACCCTCTTCCTCGGTGTTTTCATTTATTTCCCCCATGCTCTACATGGGTTTACCTTGGAAGGTGACTCAGAAACTACAGTGGTACCTCGGGTTAAGAACTTAATTCATTCTGGAGGTCCGTTCTTAACCTGAAACTGTTCTTAATCTGAGGTAGCACTTTAGCTAATGGGGCCTCTCGCTGCTGCCGCGCCACCGCTGCACAATTTCTGTTCTCATCCTGAAGCAAAGTTCTTAACCTGAGGTACTACTTCCAGGTTAGCAGAGTCTGTAACCTGAAGCGTCTGTAACCCAAGGTACCACTGTACAGCTAATCCAGAATGCGGCGGCTAGACTAGTGACTGGGAGAGGCTGCCGAGACCACATAACACCAGTCTTGAAAGACCTATATTGGCTCCCAGTACGTTTCCAAGCACAATTCAAAGTGTTGGTGCTGACCTTTAAAGCCCTAAACGGCCTCGGCCCAGTATACCTGAAAGAGCGTCTCCACCCCCATTGTTCTGCCCGGACACTGAGGTCCAGCACCAGGGGCCTTCTGGCGGTTCCCTCACTGCGAGAAGCGAGGTTACAGGGAACCAGGCAGAGGGCGTTTTCGGTAGCGGCGCTACCTTGACCCTTCAGAGGTCAAACAGATACAACAGAAACTATACAACTTTTAGAAGTTGTCTGAAGGCAGCCCTGTATAGGGAAGTTTTTAATGTTTCATGTAGCAGTATATGTGTGTGTATAGGTTTGTGTGTGCGCATGTGTGCTCCTTTTCATCTCTCAGATTTGCACAAAACCAAAAAAGGTACAAGCAAACCACATTTTTTTAAAAATCTGCACCAGATAAATTGAGCAGCAATCTGAAAATTATGTGCCGAGAATTTACAGTTGCTTTCATTTCATTTCTAGACCTCCTGTTTCTGCAGCACTCCTGAAAGGACCGTATCCCCTTATATTGATCCCTCAGATTTGCACAAAACCAGAAAACTGCACGAGCATTGCCCTCATGGTTCCTTCCAACTCTACAGTGATTCTTTGATTCTGTGATTCCACGAAATTCAACTACAAGCAGGGGTGGACTACTCTGGTCGAATTCAAAGGGGGAGGGGAGCGGATTAACAGCTATACAGTGGTACCTTGGTTCTCAAACGCCTTGGTTCCCAAGCACCAAAAACCCAGAAGTATGTGTTCCGGTTTTTGAACGTTTTTCGGAAGCCGAACGTCCGATGCAGCTGTTGACTACTGTTTCCAGGGCGTCTGCACCAAGCAGAAGCTGTGCCTTGGTTTTCGAACATTTCGGAAGTCAAACAGACTTCTGGAACGGATTAAGTTTGAGAACCAAGTTTGAGAACCAAGAGTGGACATGTCCCTGGAGGCTTACATTTGCCCACTTTAAACCGTGTCCAAGGCAGATGAACCTCTCTGCTTGCCTAGTCATTATCTCTTTTTTCCCTTCCCTTATTTTGAAGGCAACTGCCTCCAGGTGACCAAAGGCAGCAATTACTTTGCGATATCTTGAGGGCACTGCAGTTGTGACACAGGCTATTTGCCGCACAGCCCTGCATTTTATTTATGGGGCCAACGTGAGCTTGTGCTTAATATCCATGTGTGTCTTATCTCCCCAAATCTGGCTAGTGGGTGACATATTCAGGACAGAGAAGCCCTTTTACTGAACTAGAATGTTTCCTGCATTTGTCTCTCAACTACTCTCAATTAAACACTTAAAGGTTTATAGAGCAGCGTACAGGGCAGGGAAAACTTCCAAGGCTATGTGAAGAACTTGTGACTAACCTCGCTGGTGGGCACGTGACTGGCCAATTCAGGACTAGAAGACCTGAGACCTTGGGTACATAAAGCCACCTGAATTTCCCAGAGGAACAGAACATCTCCAGGAGAAGACATCCAGGACGGGAGAAGCATCACTGCCTTGTAAGTAGGAACCTCTTTATTCACTAGCAGAACGACTCTTAATCTCAGGGATGTGGGTTGGAGCCCCATGTTGGGCAAAAGATTCCTGCATTGCAAGGGGTTGGACTAGATGACCCCTCCGAACCTTTCCTGCTCTATAATTCTACGACTAGTTGGTTGGTTCCCCATATTTCAGAAGCCCGACTGACTTCAGCTAGAAGTCAGGCATTTAGTTTCTCCACTCACACGCCGTGGAAATCCTCTTCCGGCTGAGATTTGGCAGGCCAGGAGTCCTTGCTGCTAACTTTCATACATCTCTTGACAGGCCTATTCAGTTGTTTAAATTTTCCCCTAAAGAGCCAGCCATTTCTTACGATCATATTTTTTTTAAAAATGGTATCTTATGTTTTATTGCACCTGCATACGTTGTTGTATTCTGTCTTGACATTTTATGTGAGTGGGCGGTTTAGAAATAGTTTAATGAATAAAAAAACCCAGCCAGAATAATGGGAAAGAATACATCTGGTTTCTGAACTGAACATTAAGGTCTTCTGGTCTCCAGTGGACTGTGTCACAAAGCCTCTGCGATAGCCACATGTATCTCTTTCCGGCTGTTTCATTTTATCACTTTATTTTAAACTATACCACAGATTGTGTATTATGATAACATTACTGTACTAATGTTATTATAATACACAACCTGCGGTACAGTCCCATGTTTTATTTTTCCTTTTTTTAAAAAGCATGGTATCATGACAGCCACAGACAGACAGGTTCTCTCTCCCTTCCCCCACCCCTGCTCCCTGCTCTATCCGAAAAATGCTGAAGTTCATTAAAGGCTTGAATCTGAGATCTTGCTGGGAGAGCTTTTTGTAGATGCCAGGGTTTCCTGCATATCTGAATTCATGGATGATGCATTGCTGTGGGAACTTTAAGTTTGCATACCTCGGCCGCAGCAACTTGTGCACTCAAGCCGTAACGACAGAGAAGCAGGGGAAGTGATGAAGATTGATTGATTTCTCATGCTCTTCTGTGTGCAGAGAAGAAAAATGCGTACCTTTATATCCACAGGCTTTTTCCTCTGCGATTTCAGGACCATGGAATTGGTTTATTATTTATTTAGCAAAGAACAGGTCACCATTTTTCCTTGAACCGCTCAAATCAACATTTAACATTGTATTTGGGTTGATTTAGGCCAGGGGTAGGCAACCTAAGGCCCGGGGGCCGGATACGGCCCAACCGCCTTCTCAATCCTGCCCATGGACGGTCTGGGAATCAGCATGTTTTTACATGAGTGGAATGTCTCCTTTTATTTAAAATGCATCTCTGGGTTATTTGTGGGGCCTGCCTGGTGTTTTTACATGAGTGGAATGTCTCCTTTTATTTAAAATGCATCTCTGGGTTATTTGAGGGCATAGGAATTCGTTCATTCCCCCCCCCCCAAAAATATAGTCCGGCCCCCCACAAGGTCTGAGGGACGATGAACTGGCCCACAGCTGAAAAAGCTTGCTGACCCCTGATTTAGGCTGCAGTCGGCTCACTCGGGAGTAAGCCCTACTGAACCCTGCTGGGCTTAATTCTGAGCAAAGACACATAGGATGAGCTGTTCGCCTTCAATGGTCCCCATGTAAACGGTGCACTTGGACTGAAGATCACTTTTAAGAGGCATTTCCCAATCACAAAAGTTAGAGGGCAAAAACTTCTGAAGCGGAGCAAAGTTTAGCAGGGTCAGCTTTTCTCCCTTGCTCTCTATCAAATCAATACACCAGCGCATGGGTGTTAGGAAAGAGGTAAAGTGAAAAACAGCCCGGTCGACTTTTTAACAGCTCGGCCCCTGTACATCAAACAGCAGCCCACAGGCAGAAAGAAACCGAGTGAAGCTTTTCCCAGCACACAGGTGAAGTGATGGCTTCATTTCAGCATGCAGGCCTTCCATTAAACACAAAGATACAAGGCTAGTTAACAATAGCAGGGGATTCTAGGGAGGAGGGAGAACGCCACAGGCCTTTTTGCACCTTGTCTGTCTTAAGGCCGCAGTGATACATTTCACCCCCATTTCTCCAAAGCAGGTGAATCCAGGAAGCTGCCAAGATGTGTAATTGCTGCTTTAGTTCGTGTTCGGGTCAGGGTTCTCTCTGGGACTGTTTTGTGAATACAGTGAAGAGTTTCCTAAGGCCCTTGAAGCATTTGATTTTCGGGTTCAAAGGTAAGACCGGTGGTTTGATGAAAACAGCATCACCGTACACCAGCTTTCCCCGGCCTGGTTTCTTCCAGATGTCTTGGACTACAAATCCCATCATCCTTGAGAACTGGGGATGATGGGTGTTGTAGTCCGAAACATATGAAGGGCCCAACAGATCAGAGAAAGCTGCTGTACGGACACAGAATGTACTTCTAACAAAAACATACAGAACATCTCTGGTTGCTTTTAAATGAGCTCATTTAAGGCTTATTTGTCTTGCTTAGCCTTCCCCAATTAACCTCTCTTGTCCTATGCTGGCCTCATAGGGTTGAGTGTTTTGTTTCCACTTTTATTGTATTATTCTCCACTATACCTCGGAGCTGCCTTGCGAGGATGTAGCGCTGCAAAACATGGGATAGAAATGTTGTAAATAAAAGAATGCTCTCTAGAAGATGGGGCGAAACGTACGCTGTACGATTAACAAAGGAAAGTTTTCTCAATTGAGACTTGTGGAACACCAAAAGAGCTTGGAAAGAGCTGAAAAGCACCTCTTTGCCTACTAACACACAACCAGGCGCTAGGAATCTTCTGGTCCATTGCAGGCACCTGTCCCTTTGAGTAGGTCCTGATCTGTGCCACCAGAATCCAACCAAGCATTGACTCCTAAGGAGACCGCAGCTGAACACCCATTAGAGGCTCCACCAGTGGGAGAAGGGGCAAGGCATTCACCTGCCTGAGAGGAAAGAAGGAGCTGAGTTGTTATCCCTCAGGGTGGTGAGGCAGGGAGCCTCACAGAGAGGGAGGGAGATGTCCAGTCAAGACCCAGGGGATGTGCTGGGCAGGGCAAGCAAGTCATCTAAATAAGCTCTTCTGCAGAGATGGAGGAGGTTTTGAGTACGTGCCTCTCGGGCAGAGGCTATCCTTAGGTGGTTCCCCTCAAGCTCTGTTGGATAACGCCATGGAGGGAGCACCTGCAAGCTAGGTTTACATAGCCCCCTGGTGCTATGGTGGGAAGGCACAGAAATCCCGGACTTGAGACTACCTAGGGCAAGGACATTGAGGCAGAATACCCTGGTTCTCTTGGATGAGAGTCTCTCCTGGGATCCTGAGGAAGCTGACAGCTGAGCCTTACTTCAATATTGACAATAGGACAGCATCCTTCACTGCACCTGAGGAGAGCAGGCTAGCTAGAAGCAGGCAGGGAGGAAGGAAGGGCAAGGCAGACTCTATATACTCCCATGACTTTGCCAAGAAGCTGGCAGAGGCCGATGGAAGCTGTAATCCAAAACATTGGCAGTGCACAGGAACCTGCTTGTTTTCGGGGCCTCTGGCCTTTTGTGCTTCTCCCCGGTTCACATGTGTGTGGGTTTTTCCCCCCAGAACTGCCTGAGGGTCCTTTCGAGGCTCCCAAGCTTCCCAAGGTTGCTGAGAAGACAAAGTGAGGCGGGGCAGAACGTCTGCTGACTCCCTTCCATGATGGACTCGGCCTCCTCTTCTCCTCCAACGCTGGCAGAGCATGGATGGGTCTCCCCCCGACTGTCAAGGGGCTCTGTGATATTATGTTAGCCCCAAATTCCAAAGCAAAATAAAGCTCATTTTGGATCTGAACCTTTGTGTCTGGCGGTTTCATTTCCGAGAGAATCACAACAGGACATTCCGAAGGAAGGGCCCACTCGGGAGAATTGTCTTGGAAAGTCGCAGGTGGGTTTTAAGAGACACAATGACGTGGTTTGGGTACAGGGAAGGTACAGGTAGTGTTCACTGCCCCTGTCCTTTCTTTAAAAGCAGACGGCCACAAGTCGGGAAGCACAAGTTGTATCCTGCATGGTTATTTTTATTACAGTGGTACCTCAGGTTAAGAACTTAATTCGTTCCGGAGGTCCGTTCTTAACCTGAAACTGTTCTTAACCTGAGGTACCACTTTAGCTAATGGGGCCTCCCGCTGCCGCTGCGTGATTTCTGTTCTCACCCTGAGGTAAAGTTCTTAACCTGAGGTACTATTTCTGGGTTAGCGGAGTCTGTAACCTGAAGCGTCTGTAACCCGAGGTACCACTGTATTTGTTATTTATTCAATTTCTACACTGCCCTTCACCGGAGGATCACATTATGGTTTGCAACAGAAAAACACAAAGCTACATACATAATAGCCAACAAAATAATAACCCCTCCACAGTTTTGAAGGCCGTAGATTGTTTAATTAGCCAAAGGCCTGGGAGAAGAGGAATGTTTTTGCCTGGTGCCTAAAGGTATATCTCTAAGGCTGCAGGTGAGCCTGCCTTTAGACATGACTAATTTATGTTCATTAATGTTAATGGGCCTCCTCTGAGTTTAACTTAGTTGGATACAACCTCCAGGACTTTTTTAAATTAAAAAAAATTAAAATAATTGCACATCCTCCCATAATAAAATAATAATAATAAAATTTTATTTATATCCCACCCTCCCCAGCTGAAGCCGGACTTCTTCTTCTTCTTCTTCTTCTCCTCCTCCTCCTCCTCCTCCTTTTTCTTCTTCTTCTTCCTCTTCCTCCTCTCCTCCTCCTCCTCCTTCTTCAAATTTGCATAAGTCTATGAGCAATGCAGGAAATCTGCAACCAGATCTTCCGATGTTCCTTTTCAAAGCTTAGAAGTACGATAGTTTCCGCTGCTCATCAAAAGTTCTGACTTCATGGCCTGCCCCCCCACCATTTGGGGAGCAGCAATGCCTCTGAATACCAGTTACTGCAACCCCCAGAAGGAGAGATCGCTCTTGTGCTCAAAGACCACTTGTAGGTCCCCACAGGCAGCTGGTTGGCCACTGTGAGACTAGATGGGCCATTGGCTGGATCCAGTGATCAAGCAACAGGAGAGCTTCCCTCGGATTCCACACAAAGAAGGCAACCAGATTGGACATTGAACCTTATATCAACACTGTAATGTAAAGAAAGAGAGGGTACTTTCTATCATATGTGGTGGTCATGTAAGATGATAAAAGACCTCTGGGAAACGATCTACAGTGGTACCTCGGGTTACAGACGCTTCAGGTTACAGACGCTTCAGGTTACAGACTCAGCTAACCCAGAAATTGTACCTTGGGTTAAGAACTTTGCTTCAGGATGAGAACAGAAATCATGCGGCGGCAGCGGGAGGCCCCATTAGCTAAAGCGGTGCTTCAGGTTAAGAACAGTTTCAGGTTAAGAACAGACCTCTGGAACGAATTAAGTTCTTAACTACAGGTACCACTGTATAATGAACTGATAAAAATGTAGAAAATAACTATTCCTAAGAAACCAGAAACTATTCTTTTAGGTATTATAGGACGAGAGATCCCAAAAGACCAGACGAAACTATTTATGTACGCCACCACGGCTGCGTGGACTCTGTTAACCGAGAAATAGAAAGCACCTCAAAGTGCAAATAGATAAGTAGGTACTGCTCCGGCGGGAAAGTAAACGGCGTTTCCGCGTGCTGCTCTGGTTCTCCAGAAGCGGCTTAGTCATGCTGGCCACATGACCCGGAAGTTGTACGCCGGCTCCCTCGGCCAATAAAGCGAGATGAGCACTACAACCCCAGAGTCGGCCACGACTGGACCTAATGGTCAGGGGTCCCTTTACCTTTATAAGAATCTTACGTAAACATTTGTGGATAAGGTTACCATATTTCAAAAAGGGAAAATCCAGACACAAAAGCAGTTGAGCTTTTTTTTTTTAGTTTGGCCCAAAGTTGTTGAGCTTTTTATTTACCGTATTTTTCGCCCTATAGGATGCACTTTTCCCCCTCCAAAAATGAAGGGGAAATATGTGTGCGTCCTATGGGGCGAATGCAGGCATTCCCGGGCTTCCTGCAGCTCTGCACCATCCTCCGGATCCCGGCGTGAAGCTGCACGGGGCTCCGGAGGGTGGCGCGGAGCTGCCTGCTCTCCAGGGCTTCTTGCAGCTCTGTGCCACCCTCCGGATCCCGGCGCAAAGCCGCGCGGGGCTCCGGAGGGTGGCGCGGAGCCGCCTGCGCTTCAGGGCTTCCTGCAGCTCTGCGCCACCCTCTGGATCCCGGCGCGAAGCCGCGCGGGGCTCCGGAGGGTAGCACAGAGCTGCCTGCATCCCGAAGCCTGGTGCGCGCTGAAGAGCGCGCCCGGGCTTAGCGCACCTCTCCGCAAGCCTGGGGAGACCGGCGCGGCTCCCTAGGCTTGCAGATAGCAGGCTGTTCTGGGGTCGGGGGATTTTTTCCCCCTTTATTTCCCCCCCCCCAAAAAAAATTAGGTGCGTCCTAAGGGAATATTTGAATATTGAATATTTATTTATCTGTAAATATTCAATAAACCATTCTTTCCATTCTTTCACTAAAAGTTTGTTATCTTGGTTTGTTATTCTTCTGGTAAGTCTCGCCATTTCTGCATATTCTATAAGTTTTCGTATCCATTCTTCCTTTGCTGGGACTTCTGCTTCTTTCCATTTTGGGGCGAATAACATTCTTGCCACTGTAGTAGCATATATAAATAAGTTTCTATACAGTTTAGGTAGTGTTATGTACTAACCTTGGATCCTAGAACAATAGGCAAGTAGGATCCTAGAATGCGACAACTGATTGGCTTGCAGGAGAAGACCAATCAGGCTCCAGGAAAAAGTTAATCAGTCTATTAGGCTGGTACAGGGGTCTGCAACCTGCGGCTCCGGAGCCGCATGTGGCTCTTTTACACCTTTGCCGCGGCTCCGGGGCGGATACTAGCGAAGGGAGGAGGCACATTGTGCGCCCCGACACTCCCCACTGTGGCGGGCGCTGTACTGGCTGTGACGTTGCATGGGGGCGGTGCATGCGTTGGTCACGCACCATCCCGACGTCACCTTCCCGCCCGCCCGCTACATTGTAAGGGGCATGTACGCTGGTCACTGCATTGAAAGGGGGCATGTACGCTGGTCACTGTTTTGAAGGGGAGTGAAGAACACACACACACACACACACAAAGGTAACTTGTTAATTTAACGTTTACTTCTATGAGGAGGAGTAATTCTGAGGGGTCAAACAAAGAAATAATAAAAAAGTGACAAAAAAGTTATTTTTATAATGACGAGTTTTGCGGCTCCCAGTTTTTTTTTCTTCGGAAACGGGTCCAAGTGGCTCTTTTTGTCTTAAAGGTTGCAGACCCCTGGGCTGGTAGGATCCTAGAATGCAACAAGTGATTGGCCTGCAGGAAAAGACCAATCAGGCTCCAGGAGGGAAGCAGAATCAGCCAATCAGACAGGACTCGTGTAAATAATGTACCGGTACATAAAAATCTGAGGTTTGGGGGGCAATTCAATCACTGTTTTACAAGCTGCAATAAAGAGCATGAAATCACTACAGGACTCCGAGTATATTTCAGGTAGTTCTGTCACTATAATTCCCAAAAGAAAAAGGGGGAAAAATTAGGTTGTTCTTTTTCTCAATTTGGTCAAAGCTGGTTTGAGGGGAAACGCACACAGCCATTTCATAATAAATGGCAGGATAGATACAGGATAGTTGGAGGAGAGAGACAGAATAGATCTAGACTAACATTGTGTGTAGGGATGCGGGTGACGCTGTGGGTTAAACCACAGAGTCTAGGACTTGCTGATCAGAAGGTCAGGGGTTCGAATCCCCTTGACGGGGTGAGCTCCCCTTGCTCAGTCCCTGCTCCTGTCAACCTAGCAGTTCAAAAGCACGTCAAAGTGCAACTAGATAAATAGGTACCGCTCCAGTGGGAAGGTAAACGGTGTTTCCGTGCACTGCTCTGGTTCGCCAGAAGCGGCTTAGTCATGCTGGCCACATGACCCGGAAGCTGTACGCCGGCTCCCTCGGCCAATAAAGCGAGATGAGCACCGCAACCCCAGAGTCGGCCACGACTGGACCTAATGGTCAGGGGTCCCTTTACCTTTACCTTTACCATTGTGTGTACTCTGCTTTCCAAGTCAGCGGTGGAAGTGTACTGGATGCAGAATAAATGAGAATGTGTGTACACAGCCCCCATGGCCCAATGTTGTGTTGCTGCCTGAGCTCCAAAGAGGAGGATTGTTGCATCGCTAGACTGAGAGCGCTGAGCCTCCTAAATACTACGTGTGGGACGTTTGTAGGAGAAGAACATGGTTTGATAATCAGAGAATGAATAGCACACTCTGGTGCTAATGAGCTTCACCGGAGCCTCGCGATGCAGATAATAGGGCTGTAAACAAGCGGGAAGAATGCCCACAGAATACCTGGAAGACGCTCGGAAGCTGGAACTGAGTCAGCAGGATGTCCTGGCTGAGAAATGGCAATTATGGAATGCATATATGTGGCATGGTTTTCAAGGAGGATAGAAAAAGAGGGAGAAGGAGAGAGAGGAGGGGGGAGAGGGAGGGCATGATTCTACAAAGGACTGTTTAGGTATCCCAGACAAGATCTGGCTATACAGTGGTACCTCGGGTTACATACGCTTCAGGTTACATACTCCGCTAATCCAGAAATAGCGCTTCAGGTTAAGAACTTTGCTTCAGGTTGAGAACAGAAATCGTGCTCCGGCGGCGCAGCAGCAGCGGGAGGCCCCATTAGCTAAAGTGGTGCTTCAGGTTAAGAACAGTTTCAGCTTAAGTACGGACCTCCAGAACGAATTAAGTACTTAACCCGAGGTACCACTGTATAACTGCCCCCCGCCAATGTTCTCTAGGACTCTGTGGGGCTGCCAGTGGCGTTGTGACCCTGCCAGGGTTGTTTGATAGACGGGCTGTAGGAACTGGTGTCTTCCCCTTTGGAGTTGCAAAATGAAGAATATAAGACTTCAGCAATATGCAATAGGAAACAGGCTTGGATAATAACAGCCCTTGAGATGGAGGTCTTGTATAAGCAGGTCTCTCTTTTCAGATGTGAAATGTTGATGGTATACTTTCTTTAGTAGGAACAACACAACCACACACACACACACTTCCCCCTACCTCTGAGCACACACCTGTGGTGTTTCCTGCATTTGAGATGCATCAGCCGAGTTTGGTGAATTTGAGTGTGCATCAAAACACTCTGTCTCTGAAAGGCAATTTCCCAACTGCACCTGCCAGTAAATCAGATTGGGTAACCTCGGGTTTGCCCTTGACATTTCTCACATCCTCCTATAGGGAGCAGAAGGGCGACAGGCAAAAACAAAACAGGAAGAGCCCCCTTTTATGGGTCATCTGCCACAGTTCCTCCCGTCCACGGCCTTCCATGCATCCGGCAGATTTCTGATTGTTCCTGCAGCTAATAAAGCCTTGAAACACTTGCCAGGGGGGAAAGAGGGTGGGAGGAATTGTATCTGTAAGCCATCTTCCCACCATTGCTCCAGCCACTTCCTTCCCTTTCCATGGCTCCTTCCCAGTCTGTTAGGTAAAGGTAAAGGGACCCCTGACCGTTAGGTCCAGTCGCGGACGACTGTGGGGTTGTGGTACTCATCTCGCTTTATTGGCCGAGGGAGCCGGCGTACAGCTTCCGGGTCATGTGGCCAGCATGACTAAGCCACTTCTGGCGAACCAGAGCAGCGCACGGAAACGCCATTTACCTTCCCGCTGGAGTGGTACCTATATATCTACTTGCACTTCGTGTTTTCGAACTGCTAGGTTGGCAGGAGCAGGGACCGAGCAATGGGAGCCCACCCCGTCGCGGGGATTCAAACCACCGACCTTCTGATCGGCAAGCCCTAGGCTCTGTGGTGTAGACCACAGCGCCACCCACGTCCTTTGGAGTTATGTACACACAATTGCCATGATTTGCCCAAGCGGAATAGCCAGCACTAATTACAGCTCCCATTTACGTCACCCAACCTGGCGAGTCCAATCCATGCAAACTGGTGCCTTAGGACATTCCTGGCAGAATTGTGAGACCACAAGAGGCTCTTGGTGAGGGGGGGCGGGGAGCACCACAGGCCATCAATCCGCATTTGAACTTTTTGGAAGAAGGGTTTATAATCAGAGAATCATAGAGTTGGAAGGGAACCTGAGGGTCATCTAGTCCAACCCCCTGCAATGAAATCTCAGCTGAAGTGTCCATGACAGAAGACCATCCAACCTCTGCTTAGAAACCTCCAAGGAAGGAGAGCCCACAACCTCCCGAGGGAGACAGCTTCACTGTGCAACATCTCTAACTTTCAGAGGGTTCTTCCTCATGTTTAGTCGGTATCTCCTTTCTTATAACTTGAAGCCATGGGTTCGAATCCTACCCTCCAGAGCAGAAGAAAACATGTGACACAGCCCTTCCGATATCTGACGGCGGCTACCCTATCTCCTCACAGTCTCCTCTTTAGAAGGCTAACCACACCCAACTCCTTCAACCGTTCCTCATAAGGCTTGGCTCCAAGGCATCTTGGCCGCCCACCTCTGAGCACGTTCCAGCTCGTCGAAGAACGGAGCCAAATATGATATTGAGAAGCTAAGCTGCTTAAAGCAAGCAGTGAAAGGATTAAGGAGAGGCTCAGATTGAGCCTTGAGATCTCAATGACTCAGTGTGGGAGGAGACATTCTGTTGCCTGAGGTAAAGGGCAAGATGGCGGCCCTTCCCATTCCAGCGGCAACAGCCACCTGGACATTGAATCTCAATCCAACATGGGTGATGGGACAGCGCCTTACAGTGGCACACGGGAGCCTAGGAAGCCGCCTTAAGACCTTGGGCCCAGCCCTGCCTCTCAGCCCGGCCTACTCCACAGGGTTGTTGTGGGGATTAAATGATGATGATGATTTTTTATTTATACCCTGCCCTCCCCAGCCAGAGCCGGGCTCAGGGCAGCTAACACCAGTAAAATTACAATAAAAACATAATAGGAGGGGGGGGACCAATTTAAAATACGGGTTAAAATACAATTTAAAATGCAACCTTTTTCAGCCGTGGGCTAGGCCACCGTCCCTCAGACCATGTGGTGGGCTGGACTATATTTTGGAGAGAAAAAAATGAAAGATTTCCTCTGCCCCACAAATAACCCAGAGATGGATTTTAAATAAAAGGACACATTCTACTCATGTAAAAATACGCTGATTCCTGGACCTTCCACGGGCCAGATTGAGAAGGTGATTGGGCCGGATCCGGCCCCCGGGCCTTAGTTTGCCTACCCCTGATCTAGTCCAACCCCCTGCAATGCAGGAATCTCAGCTAAAGCATCCATGACAGATGGACATCCAACCTCTGCTTAAAATCCTCCAGGGGAGGAGAGTCCACAACCTCCCGAGGGAGTCCGTTCCACTATCAAACGGCTCTTACTGTCAGACAGCTTTTCCATATCTCTAGTCGGAATCTCCTTTCCTGCAACTTGAAGCCATTGTTTCTAGTCCTACCCTCCAGAGCAGGTGAAAACGAGCTTGCTCCACTCTCCATGTCACAGTCCTTCAAATATCTGAAGATGGCTATCCTATCTCCTCTCAGTCTCCTCCTTTCCAGGCTAAACATACCCAGCTCCTTCAACCGTTCCTCATAAGGCTCAGCTTCCAGACCCATAATCATCCCAGTTGCTCTCCTCTGCACACCTCCCAGCTTGTCAACATCCTTTTCAAACTGCGGTGCCCATAACTGGACACAGTATTCCAGGTGTGGTCTGTCCAAGGCTGATGGACTTAGCTTTGGTACCTTTTGGGTTTTCTTTAGGTAACTATCTCCAGAGACTTGGGCAGTAATTGCTTTGGCTGCTCTTGAAGCATCGCAATTGTGACACAGTCTGTTTGCTGCCCAGGAATGCATTTGATTTATTGGACCAAGCCGAGTGTGAACTTCATATTAATGTGTGGCTAATCTTCCCAAATCTGTCCAATTAGTGACTCACCCAGGATAGAGAAGCCTTTTTAAGAACTGCTGTGGACTGATCTCCCGCATTTCCTGCTTTAATCTCTGAACAATTTTCAATTGCACATTAGATTCATGGAGCACCGAGGGCTGGAATACATTCTGAGGTGCGTTAAGTACCGATGGTTGAATTGAAATTAGACAACCCACACAAGTCAGGAGCAGGTGAGATTAGATGGAGACCAGTTGAACCGGCACAAACCTCCCTGTGGATTATTGCAAAAGATCAATCAAAATCACTCCACCCCAAACTGAATTAGCAGCCACCTACCAGTTCTGGGAAGGAAAGGAGAAGCTGCGTACATAAAGGCACCTGAGATTCTTAGACCACTGGAACATCACCAGGAGAAGGCACCCAAGACAGAATAAACATCGCCACCTTGTAAGTTAGAACTTCTTTGTTCGCCGGTTGAAAAGAGGGGAAGAAGACTTCGGAGGTGAATGTGATTTGCTCCGGAAGCATTAGGAATCCTGCAGGTCCAATAGGATGATGATTGCCTGGAGAGAGAAAGGGAAATGGGGGGAAATTATTACAGGGCTGCACCGATTGGTGGTGCAGGATGGTGGAAGCCTACCCTGTTCCTCGAGCAGTAGGACTGCTAGACAGATGGGCTGCTAGACAGATGGACTGCTAGACAGATGGGGTTGTTTTAATGTCTAATTATGGGTGCTCACGGTTTAATCTTTGTGTAACTGTCTTTTATACTTTCCAAGCCGCTTAGAAGCCTGTTTAGGAATTAAGCAGTACAGTGGTACCTTGGGTTACAGATGCTTCAGGTTACAGAAGCTTCAGGTAACAGACTCCACTAACCCAGAAACAGTGCTTCAGGTTAAGAACTTTGCTTCAGGTTGAGAACAGAAATCATGCGGCGGCAGCACGGCAGCAGCAGGAAGTCCCATTAGCTAAAGTGGTCTTCAGGTTAAGAACAGTTTCAGGTTAAGAACAGACCTCCAGGACAAATTAAGTTCTTAACCCGAGGTGCCACTGTAAATAAATAGCTAACCAAGCAAGCAACATAAAACTGGGCTTTAATTACCGTATTTTTTGCTCTATAAGACTCACTTTTTCCCTCCTAAAAAGTAAGGGGAAATGTGTGTGCGTCTTATGGAGCGAATGCAGGCCGCGCAGCTATCCCAGAAGCCAGAACAGCAAGAGGGATTGCTGCGAATATTCAGAATATTTTTTTTCTTGTTTTCCTCCTCCAAAAATTAGGTGCGTCTTATGGTCTGGTACATCTTATAGAGCAAAAAATACGGTAATTAAAGAGGATAGGGAGACAAATGAAATTTATTTGGCACGAGAAACAGCGTGGAGGAAGAGGTTCTTCCCAAATCAGCTGGTCTAGGAACACAGGTGATTTTGCCTTCCACTTAGGGAAGTTGGATTGGCTCGCTTGCCAGAGTCATCCATTTCTGGCCTCTAGCGCTTCCATTCTGGTGGCTGAAACGCAAACTACCTTTGCTGTAATGCAATGAATAAAACCACTATAACTGGTGAACTGTAGTTTTATTCATCCCATGTGGGTAATTCTGATTATTTTTTGACAACAAAATAAATATGAAAGTCATCTTTAAATGTATTAAATTTGTTCAGTTATCATGGGCAGAATTAAACTACTTTTAATTATTATTATTTTTGCACTAGGATTATCACTAGTGCAATGAGATTTTGACCCTCCCCTACCCCAAATCTTCCCCAGAGGGTTGCGGGAACTGGATATAAGGAGAGCATTTCATTGTGCAAAGAGAAATCCTTGTGCAAGTCTCACCTTAGTGCTACATTGAATACAATGCAATGCTTGTTAGCTCCTCTTTAACCTCGATTAATAAATAACATCAATGCGGACTTGTGAAATTGGGGTGCTTAGTGGAGCCTCAGCTTAACTGGACTGAAGTAATTTGCCTTTGTAAAACAACAGTCGGATGTTGTAAACAGTGGAGACTCTTCCATTACGGCTTCCGGGGCACATCTCTGTCAATCAGAATATCGAGAAATGTTTTTAATGCTGCAAAAAGAAAGAAATCTCAAAGCCACACTTCCCGCCCGCCCAGCACACATTTTATACTTCTATGAATTTGCAGAGGCTTGTGGAGGCATTTTTGTCAGCCTTCTGTTTCCTGGCCAGTCAGCTGTCTGGCACCACTCAGCCAACCTTAACCCAGAAATATAGCCAGGGCCGGCCTGTCCATAAGGCAAACGGAGGAAGCGGCCTCAGGCGGCAGAATCCAAGGGGTGTCTCTGCGTGTGTGGCCAATGCTGGAGAAGCAAGGATAGGCAGTTGCCGCGGCTTCCAACTTCCGGCAAGATCACCCTGGGCTCCTGCAGGATCTCGCAGAAAAAAACATGTGGCTGACATTTGAATATTAGGATTATTGAATATTAAAAGGACTGCTGGCTTTTTACCCAGTGATGACCACACTGCTGCTCTCACTATTATTATTATTTTATTTTATTTTTTTTGAGGACTATTTAGTAGCCGCTATATCAGATAATGGAGGAAAGCCTTGAAAGGCCAACAGCATGAAGATGTTCAGAGCTGTTTCCTCCTCATAATTTTTTGTTTGTACTAGTAACCAAAGAAGCAAGGGGGGGCTGTTTCTTACTTTGAGGAACTTTTTGTTTTGTTTAGGACCGTATTGACCTGAATATAAGCCTCACCCCCACCCACCCCGCTCCCAATTCCAACCAGGAAAAGTTAAAGTGTGGCTTAAATTTGCCACCTTACAATAACTGGCTTTTACGATATCGCTGCTGGAACAGACATATGGTACAGTAAAATGGAACGGGTGTGAGTGCCTGCGGAATTTTAAGGGAGCGGCTTATATTCAGGTATTGTGGGGTTTTTTTTCTTTCTCTCCCTTGAATTTTAAAGGTTCGGCTTATATTCGGGTGCGGATTATATTTGGGCCAATACGGTATTTGTTTGTGGTCTTGTGTGTGCACGCATGCGCGTGAGAGAGAGAAAGCAAGCAAGCATGGACACAGTGTCTGTGTGTGTGTGTGTGTGTGTCCTTCTGTAATAAATATTTATAGATTTTTCTGAATAATTTTGCATTTATTTTTGTGAATTAAATTGGGAGGAGATACAGTGGATGGCTTGTGAAGCAACAACCTCTGTGCTCAGGTGTCCCTGCATTCACCCACTAAAAGCTGCATCAGCGGCTGGGTGGAGCAGGGCAAGGCAGGGCACTTTGATCTAAGTGACATGCAATTCCAGAGTATTTCCCAAATAGGTGTGTGAATTTGCTTTCAACAAGTCCCTTCCTTAGCTTTGCACAATCCTGCCACGGTTATGAGCACACCAGGAGCCCCATGTGCTTGTCTGTCCTTTGTCAAGCACTCCTGTATGGTCTCTGTGGACAAAATGTTCTTGTATTTTTAGTGGATATTTTACTATCACTGAAGTTAGGGGAGAAAAACCTTAGAAGAAAAGTTACTTTGATCAGGTAGACATCTGTGCTGGATGGCAAGTCAATACAGCATGCAAAGGGGATGGTGACTGTAAGGTGAACAAGAACAACAGACTACTGAACTCAGCTACATTAGTGGAAAAAAACAGAACTTTGATTGCATTATAAACATGCAACACCAGATGGTGCTGGAGAGCAACGAAAAAATATTTGCGATTTTACATAGCGCTTTTCCCCCCTTTTGTCATAATGATTTAATTTCTGACTTATTAATAGCAGGGTTTTATCCTGTGTGTAAAGGTAAAGGTAAAGGGACCCCTGACCATTAGGTCCAGTTGTGACCGACTCTGGGGTTGTGGCACTCATCTCGCTTTATTGGCCGAGGGAGCCGGCGTACAGCTTCCGGGTCATGTGGCCAGCATGACTAAGCCACTTCTGGTGAAACAGAGCAGCGCACGGAAATGCCATTTACCTTCCCACTGGAGCGGTACCTATTTATCTACTTGCACTTTGACGTGCTTTCAAACTGCTAGGTTGGCAGGAGCAGGGACCGAGCAACGGGAGCTCACCTGTAAATCCACCCTAAATGTACTAAATTTATATCCTGCCCTTCCTCCCAGTGGAGGCCAATAGCAAACAATGAGTAATAAAACAGTAAATACATCTTAGAAACAAAAATTTAAAAACTCCAAAGGAAAAAGCAATTCTATTTCAGATGCAGACTATGAAAGATAACAAGTGACGCCTTTTTCTGGCATGGAGACGAAGCGATGGAGGAAGCGTTCGTCGGTTTAATTTCTGCATGTTGGCCTACTGTTATAAATGAAAAAGAGCAAGGCCAGTAAAAACTGTGGGAAATCCTATGCAGAAAGGAGGATATTTACCCTGGTTATGTCTTGGAGCCAGTCTGTGACTTATTTCTTCCCAATTTCTACCTGCAGGTAAAGGTGAACCCAGCAAGCTGCCAAGATGTGCAACTTGAATTTTGTTTGGAACATAGTGAAATGTATGTTTAAGATAGTAAAGTGGATTTGTAACAAGGCCAAAGGTAAGAGGAGTGGGCTGATGCAGGGGGTCTTATCATTCACCCTCCTTTCCCAAGGTGGTATCCTTTTCTGTACTACAAAACCCATCAGCTGCAGCCAGCATGGCCGTGAGAGCTGGGGCTGGTGGAAGCTGTAGTATGTAACAGCTGAAGGGCACCAGGTTGGGTAAGGTTCCAGCACATTCAGAGTCTGATCCTGATACACTTCTGTTAAAAACATATAGAATACCCTATCTGAATGCTTATTTGCCATGCTTAAGACTCCCCTCATTCTGTCAAAACCGTATCTCAAAAACCTCATATTTTACCTGGTGCTTAGTTTTGAATTACTTTTTAAAAAATATACAGTATTATTTTTACCTATTTCTGGAAACTGCCTCACGAGGACCTGGTCCTAGGAGACAGGATAGAAACATTTTGGATAAATAAATAAAATTATACAGTGGTACCTCAGGTTACAGACGCCTCAGGTTACAGACTCCGCTAACTCAGAAATAGTACCTCGGGTTAAGAACTTTACCTCAGGAAGAGAACAGAAATCGCGTGGCGGTGGTGGGAGGCCCCATTAGCTAAAGGTACCTCAGGTTAAGAACAGTTTCAGGTTAAGAACGGACCTCCAGAACAAATTAAGTTCTTAACCTGAGGTACCACTGTACAGAAGTCAGGGAGGATGGCGGGGGGGGGGGGATTAACTTAGAAAAAAATAAAAAAAGAAAGAGCTTGTTTCACTGGGCATTTTACCTACAAGCACACTGGGCTCCGATAAGTTATTTCCAAACACTTTTTATTGAAGGGGTGGGGCAGATCTTTGCCAATTAAATATAATGGAGACAAACATGATACTCTGAGCTAAGACGTTTAAATTAAACACCAATAAGATAAGGGCACCCAAAGCAGAGGCTCAGATAAAGATCTTGGTGACTGGGTGGCCCTGGCACAGGAGAAGGGACAATGTCACTTGAAACATAGGGAGCTCAGTATTGCCCACACGGACTGGCAGTAGCTGTCCAGGGTATCAGGCAGGGACCATTTCCAGCTCTACCTGCAGATGCTGGGGACTGAACCTAGGACCGTCTGCATACAAAGCAGATATTCTAGCCCTGAGCCACAGTATGGTCTCTCCACATTTTGCTGCCTGAGGACAAGATGTCTCCTGCTCCCATCTTCCACTGCCCTTGAGGGCAAACAGGCTACAGTGGTACCTTGGTTCTCAAACTTAATCCGTTCCGGAAGTCTGTTCCAAAACCAAAGCGTTCCAAAACCAAAGCGTTCCAAAACCAAGGCGCGCTTTCCCATAGAAAGTAATGCAAAACGAATTAATCCATCCCAGACCCCCAAAATCCATCCCAACCCCCCAAAAAACCCAGCAATTTAACCTGAATTTTACTATCTAACAAGACCATTGATCCATAAAATGGAAGCAATAATCAATGTACTGTACTATAAAATAAATAAGACAGTATTGTTGATTGATAAAAATTAAAATTAATCTTTTTTCTTACCTGCACTGATGATAGTCATTGTTTGGATTGGGGGGCTTTTATCCATTTACGCAGTCACACAAACAATTAATCAGTAGCTGAACTGGGTTCCACACAGTTACAAAAACAAATTAACCGAAAAAACCTCAAAAGCAAAAACGCAAAATAAATAGCAAAAACAAAGGCGCCAAACTTAATCCGTCCCGGAAGTCCGTTTGACTTCTGAAATGTTCGAAAACGCAAGGTGAAGCTTCTGATTGGTGCAGGCACCCCGGAAACAGTAGCCGGCAGTTGCATCGGACGTTCGGCTTCTGAAAAACGTTTGAAAACAGGAACACTTACTTCCGGGTTTTCAGCATTTGGGAACCAAGGTGTTTGAGAACCAAGGTACCACTGTAGATACACGGATCAAGGTTTCTCCAATGAGATTTTCTGGAAATGAGCAGTGCAAGCCTGAACACGTTTACTCAGAAGTAAGTCTGTCTGAATTCAGTGGAACTTCCTGCCCAGGAACTTGGTTAAGGATTTGCCCCAGTAGGCCAGGTTCCCTTCCTAACTTCTGGCCTTTTATGTTTTTCCCATAGTCTTCATGTGTGTTTCTTTTTCAGAACGGATGAAGCGACACAAGCCGGCGATCGAAAAACCACACAAGCCGGCGATCGAAAAACCACCCAAGCCAGCGACTGAAAAACCACCCACACCAGTGACTGAAAAACCACCCAAACCAGCAACTGGGAAACCACCCAAACCAGCAACTGAAAAGCAAGACTGAAGAGGGAATGACGGACCTCCACAGTCCCATCTTCTCCAACACTGGCAGTAACATCCCTCTGACTGTCAAGGCACACCATGTTATTTTGTTAATGCAATAAAGCTTGTTTGGAGCCGAACATCTGAGTTTAAGGATTTTATTTTCAAGCGAATGATGTCTAAGAGGCATTGGAAAAATGCATTTTTTATTTATTTGCATTCGCATATTGCTAGGAAGTTCTCTCTATGCCACTCTGTGGGCTTTTGATGTGCTGAATTTTAATTCTCTTCTTTAAACAACACAGCCAAACTAGACATGGTGGCCTGAGACCCAACTGGGATAATTCAAAGGGGAAGTGCAGCTTGTGTTGTAACTGTGACAATAGAAAGGAGGGAGTCCACGCTTTCCATGTCCTAATTTTCTAGACTGGATTCTAGCACCGTCATTCCCCACAGAGCTATTTGCCCTGTGGGATAAGACCAAAAGGTGCTCTGCTATGGGGCAAACAGGTCCAAAGGAACAGTTTTCAGGCTGGGGGTAAAGATCAGCAGTAATAATAATAATAATAATAATAATAATAATAATAATAATAATAATAATTTTCTCTTTGACATCTGGTGGGAGGGCGTTCCACAGGGCGGGTGCCACTACCGAGAAGGTCCTCTGCCTGGTTCCCTGTAACTTTGCTTCTCGTAGCGAGGGAACCACCAGAAGGCCCTTGGCGCTGGACCTCAGTGTCCAGGCAGAACGATGGAGGTGGAGACGTTCCTTCAGGTATACTGGACCGAGGCCGTTTAGCAGAAAGAGTTAAACCTCACCTCCCCAGCCTCACAACCCGAATTCAAATACAGCCCCACTCAGTTGCATTCCTCCTTAAGGAGGGAGAAAGGGAACTTTAGACACAGATCTCCTTGTAGGACAAAGTACATGTGACTCACTGTGTGCATTACAGAACTTAATGGAGTATATAGGTCTGGGATATATTAGAGCAACCCCCTGTAGCAATTCACAAAACATCAACAGGGTTAGATTATCTTTTATTCAGAATAACAGCTTTATTCATTTATGCCATTAAAATCTTGTCCCAGTCGGAAGACCTTCACCCATATAGCTCTAAGTGAAAGGATTTGTAAAGAATTTCTCACAGGCCACGTGTAAAGTAATTCTTTCAAAGCCATATCAGCTATTGTAGTTCAAAAATATACCTGTACACAGAGGTTGGAACTGATTGTTTTTTTAAATTTTGAAGCCAAACTGTTATGCATCTAGCTTAAAGAGTTCTATTCAGAATCCCAGCATTTACATTTACTTAAATGTATAATAGAAGAGATTTCAGCAGCTTAGTATGTGTGTGTGTGTGTATATATATATTATTCAGGTTCAATATTTTGCATGATTACACTCGAAAATGCCAGGAAAATTGCACTGCAAAATCCCCACCATTTTCCAGGTTAACACGATTGCAAATTGGTTTTATTCCGGAAACAATGAGCAGGGGAAAGGGGACTAAACTTCCACCAGATTATCTGAAGTGGGTTTTATGTTGTGTGAAATAAAGCTTGAACATGAATAGGAAGGAAGGAATCATTGGGGAAATGGATTAAAGTGTGGGAACTGCCTGCACAACCCTAAATACAGTGTTGGGTACTAGTTTACAAAGCCCTATACAGTTTGGAGCCAGGATACCTGAAAGATTGTCTCATCCTTTATGCACCCAAACAATCACTGCGCTCAGGTGGTCCGTTCAATCGAGCCTTTAAGTGAAGCAGCATCTATGAACATCCCTTCCAGTTAGATATCTGGCAAGTACTGTTTTGACTGGTGTGGTGTGTGTTTTTTTTTAGTTTCAACAGATATTCCTTTTCCAACAAGCCTGATAAGTGGCAATTTTTATTCCAGTCTGTATCTGTATCGGATTTGAAAATGTTTTCAATGTATGCTTTTTTTGAGTTTTCATTTATTTATTGTTAAATTGCTTTGGAACGTTTCCTGGGAAGAGATTAATAAATGAAACAAACAAACGAGCAAAAAAATATCCCGCAATTTGCATTTGCTCTCCTCCCGTTCCTGCTAATATTCCCTACTGGAACTTTTGTTATTCGTGGTTTCTCATCCCCATTAATCCATCAATAGGTTGCATCATCCTTTTAGGAGGAAGCCCAGTTCCCCTCCCTCCCCCCACCTTGCCATCCCATTGCCATGACAACCGCAAGAGTCCAAGCTGGAGGAATTTACAGTATGGCAACCAGGAGAGGCGGTTACTATGGCAACCATTGGCGTGGAAGTAAAGAGGAGATGGCTGCGCTAGGCCTCACTAACCAAGGAAAGGGCTTGGGGAGTTGCTAGCTGTTTCCCTCCTCCTTCTTGCAGGGACCTGTGTCAGAAGATTTGCATTACAATTCAGAAATTCAACAGGTGAAGCTTTGCTTCCATTGGCACAACTCTGTGCTGGGATAAGATGCACCTGTTTGATTTCTACCTGTCACACATAGGCAACTTGCTGGAAAAGAGGTGGCCAGACTAACTGGGGACTCTTGAGTTCTTCCAGAGGCCGTTTTCTATATTCCAAAAAAAGAGCCAGGATTCCTGGGTACTTTGTGGGAAACGAGGTCATCTCTAGAAAATGTATTTACCTGCATCTGCTCGCTGTGGATAGATGTGTCTCCATGGAGACTCCAAGTATCCTTGTTGACCTGGCTTGGATTTTACCCTTGAGCGGACAGTGAAACAGCAAATGCTCTCAAATCTTAGGCGCCATAAACCTGTTACTCCCCACAGTTGATTTTTTTTATTATTATTTGTATCCCAGCTTTTAGGATACAAATGTTTCTAAGTGACTTACATTAAAAATTTTAAGCCATAATAAACAACATCAACATATTAAATTGTTGATAGGTGGGAAGTGGTTAGCTCACTTGAGGCAATGTGGTGTAGTGGTTAGGGCAGGGGCAAGCAAATTTTTTCAGCAGGGGGCCGGTCCACTGTCCCTCAGACCTTGTGGGGGGCCGGACTAGATTTTGGTGGGAAAAAATGAACGAATTCCTACGCCCCACAAATAACCCAGAGATGCATTTTAAATAAAAGGACACATTCTACTCATGTGCAAACACGCTGATTCCCGGACCATCCGTGGGCCGGATTTAGAAGGCGATTGGGCCGGATCCAGCCCCCGGGCCTTAGTTTGCCTACCCATGGGTTAGGGTGTCAAGACTAGGGTTTGAATCCCCACTTGGCCAATGAAGCTCAATGGCTGTCAATGTGCCAATCACAGCCTCTCAGCCTGACCTGCCTCATAGATTTTCCTGGGCATTATGGGGGAGGGGGATTTCCAAAAGGTTGTGCCTTCTTCTGGTGGTGGGCTGTGTGTCTGTGTCTGTGTGTGTGTGTGTGTGTGTGTGTGTGTGTGTGTGTTGAAAATAAAAAGCTCAACAATTTTGGGGTCTTCCTTCCTTTCGTTTTCCAGGTGTCCTGGAGTGTTCACTCCAGGTTCTGCCTCCTTATACCTTATAAATAACTTTGTGTATGTAAAGTGTTTTTGTTTCTTTTTAGAGACTTGCTGATAATGAAGAGATGGAGGGTGGTCTTGGAAATCTGAACGCCAGGAAATTACTCCTTCATAAATCTGGGATTCTTGCTGCAGGCATGAATGGATGTTGGGTGATTCATCGCAGAATCAGAAGCAATAATGTCAACGCATGCTGCTATGCTTTAGCTGCAGTCCTAGACACACATCTACCTGGAAGTAAATCCTGGATAGCTCAGCTGGTGGAGCATGAGACTCTTAATCTCAGGGTACTGGGTTCAAGCCCCATGTTGGGCAAAAGATCCCTGTGTTTCAGGGGGTTGGATAGATGACCAGTGCAGTCCTTTCCAACTCCACAATTCAGTGGGGCTTACTTCTGAATAGGCATGTATAAAATTCCACCACCAAGCTGGAACCATGTACAGTACACACTTTTCTTGGGAGGAGCAACCTCGTGGAACATAAACGCGTCATTGTTTGAGCATTTAGTTCCAGAAATGCAATATGTTTTGTATCAAACTGCATTAAGAAATCACTGAATGAATCACACAGGGATGCCTGCTTGTGTGTGCATCTGCCGTCACTTTTAAGTTCATGTTTTGTGTTTAAAGCAATATCCTTATGCAAAGGTTGGCATAACCAGGTTGGGATAGCTGGGATAGCAGGCTTGTTGGTTTTGAATGTCTTATGTAGATTTTTTTTTTCCAATTTCGTTGTTCTGTGTGGGACAATGACAATAAAGATTATTGTATCGTAAGGCTTTGCAAATATTATCTTAAACTTTTAGGGTGGGGAAAGGAAACTAATCTTTATGTTCAGTGGCGTAGCGTGGGGGGTGCAGGGGGGCCGGCCGCACCGGGCGCAACATCTGGGGTTAGGGCAAATCCACAGGTTAGGGGGCACAAATCCACGGGTTAGGGGGCGCAAATCCACGGGTTAGGGGGCGCAAATTACTTGCCTTGCCCCGGGTGCTGACAACCCACGCTACGCCACTGTTTATGTTTCTTAAAGAACAAACGCCAAAAAAAAGTGTACAGTCCTATCCCTAAAATTTTAGATTAAGAAATCCATTATGTTAGAGCCAGTGTGGCGTAGTGATTAGGACCTGGGCGACCTGGGTTCAAATGCCTGTTCAGCCATGAAGCTCAATGGGTGACCTTGCGTCAGCCACAGCCTCTCAGCCTGACCTACCTCACAGGGTTGTTGTGGGGGTTAAATGAGGAGAGGGGAAAGCCATGTATCCCACCTTGAGCTCCCACTCTTCCAAAATATTAGACTAAAAAGCTGGGAGAGCGGCCTCAGGATTCTTGAAAGCGATTATACATATTTTTTTTCCATGGTATGTGCGCCAAAATGTACAAGGGGAGCAAAACACCACCTCCGTCTCCCAGCTGTGGGCTTGCGACTTACCTAATCTCTAAATGCCCATCTGTACTTTCATTGACTCATATCCATTATATTTGCTATGCAAGGCTCCATCTCTGTCTCCAATCAACCTGTCAATCCATCCGTCAATAAGTCTGTCCCCCATTTCTCCCCCAACTTGACAAGCCCTCAGCATTTTCCTTCCACCTATCTAATTCTCCATTCCTGCCTTTCTCTCTCTTCCGCCCCCCCCCCGCCCCACGCACCCCCCTCCTTACACCCTCCCATCCTTAGTTCATTCATAAAGATCCGCAGTCCCTCTCCCGGCCAGCGCCAGGTCTTCTCACGGATCCGACTTCATGCCAGCAGCTGCAAAGGGGGGGACAGCCCCCTGCGATAACTGGTTTGGGGGTGGGGGGAAGGCTTAGCTCACCCCACCCACCCTGATTCATCTTGAAAGGAGATGCAGGGCAAAGCGATACGATGGCTGGGGTTCTTCGCCGCCCTGATAGCTACGGGGGCCAACTGGGAAGCAGGTGAGGGGGGCACCTGGCTGGGGGGGTTGTGGGGGGGGGAAGGATGCAGAATCGTGGGGGGCGGGAGGGAATGGGAGCAGAAATGGATGTGAGTGACAGGTGAAAACAGGAGAAGAAAGGGGCAGATGTGGGAAAGGAGGAGGGGAACAAAAAAGGGGGATAAATATCCAGCCCATTAGAGCGGAGGAAAAAATGGGGGCGGGGGGGCAGGAGAACAATAAAGGAGATAAAAGGGGGCCGGAGGTTGAATGGGAAGGCATAATACGCGAGGTCCCCTAGAGCGCAGACCCGGCTCTGGTGCTAGGGAACCCGGGAGTCTCGGCACCAGCCTTTTCTGGACCCTTTGCTCTACGAACTTATTGGTGCTGCCTGTTTATCATCCATCCCATTGGACCTGAAGCCCCTTTCAGCTAAATGCCAAATTGGTTCGGGGCTGGGTGAGATGAGCGTGGCAGCACTCTGTACATGCTCTTGCCCTGATTGTTACACACGCGTTCCAAAAACAAATCCTGGCATCAAAGCCCAGGCTCAGATTAATTCCTGACTACTTTTCACCCAGAATTCTGTTCTCTTGTCTAAAGCGCTAGACCCGTTCCCCCTTTTTGGATAACTTTGGACATCTTGCTTTTCACCTTCATTGCACGACCCTGGAGACTGAAATGTTGTCAAAGGACAAAGACGTCCTGGTTGCCAGCTGTATACAATTTCCCCAAACTGCTAGCCCTCCCTGCTTCGTATACCCACCCCTTTGGAGAGAAAAAAGTTGACTCTTCCCTTGTTTTGTTTCCTTCAGAGATTAACAGCTCTGTGATTAACAGCTCTGTTCAACAGGTGCAGTTCCTCCCCATATAGAGATACTGAGATGGTAAATGCTCTCTACCTGTTTGATCCCTGCTTTTGTGAAGCCCGTAGGAGCCCTGGGTGAGGAAAAAGAAGGTGGCAGTCCTGTTTTCTGACTACGCTTACACTTTTGCACATTGAAATGAAAAAATACCAAGTGAGGATCTTTGTCCACAGGGATGTGATAAAACTTCTACGCATGAACAATGCTGGTTGCTGCATCTGGGCGCCCCTGTTGCAACTTTTTCCAGAAAGCCATAACATTTATTTATTTTCCAGACCCCCTCTGCCCAGCCAAGTACAAAGTCAACTGTCTGCTCCGTCAACGTCTGGGCTGTGGGCCAGAAGGAGCACCTACCTGTGGCCCTTGCTTCCCCAACTATGAGGAGGACTCTAGTGGAAACTGCGTGCAGAAGAAGGCTCCTAAGCAGGGTGAGGTCTGTGGGGAGGGGGGAGGGACCTGGGGAAGAGTCCAAGGGCTTTAGAGGGACAGCTGAATGGCTGAGAAGACTGGGAGCAGAGAGGGGATCTGTAAAAAAGGTAAAGGACCCCTGGACGGTTAAGTCCAGTCAAAGGCGACTATGGGGTGCGGCGCTCATCTTGCGTTCAGGCTGAGGGAGCTGGCGTTTGTCCGCAGACAGCTTTCCGGGTTATGTGGCCACCATTAAACCACTTCTGGTGCAATGGAACACCATGACGGAAACCAGAGCGCACGGAAACGCCGTTTACCTTCCCGCCGGAGCGGTACCTATTTATCTACTTGCACTGGTGTGCTTTCGAACTGCTAGGTTGGCAGGAGCTGGGACGGAGCAACGGGAGCTCACCCCGTCGTGCAGACTGTGACTAAAGGCCTGATTTTCTCTCAACACCTTCTCTCTTTTTTCAGAAAGCAAAACAAAAGGCCAGAAGAAGCCCAAAGACCTGCTCGCTCTCATCCTTTCCCTCCTAGCCAAGCATGAGAAAGGGCTGAAGCCATCAGACATGGAGACCACTTGGCCTGGTAGGCAAAGCCAACAAACGCACCTCTTTTCCCAGCATGCATAGGGAGCTGCCTTATACCAAGTTAGATGATTGGTCCATCAAGCTCACTCCCAGCATTCCAGACCCACTGGCTGTGCTGATGGGAGCTGGAGTCCATGAACATCTGGGAAGGTCACTGTTTAGCTTACTGCCCAGGTGGTTATCCCACTGTTAGGTTTTCCCATCAGTCCCTTTTTGATAGCTCCCTGGACTACATCTCCTTACCTTTGATGATGGGTTTCTCCTGGAGATTCAGATTGGTTGTTCTGAAGGGTTTCCCTGAAGAAGAACCTCATTCGAAACATATTGGGTGTAGTAATTGGTTTCTTGCTGATTTATTCGAAGCATGTTGACCATGCTCTTCTTAAGAAGTATCTCAGGGAGCCTTTTCAGCTGTTCCACTAGGGGGTGATATAATGCAGGGAGTAAGGTAAAAGAATTTCCAACTAACTTAAGGTGCCTCCAGACTGTCACTATTTGCCGGATGCAAGTACGTAGTAGAAGTCTAGGTTTATGCAGCTGAAGAGCTTCTGTCGTCCTACTGTAACCTATCCACTTAATAATAATAATAATAATAATAATAATAATAATAATAATTTATTTATTTATACCCCGCCCATCTGGCTGAGTTTCCCCAGCCACTCTGGGTGGCTCCCAATCAAGTGTTAAAAACAACACAGCATTAAATATTAAAAACTTCAGGGCTGCCTTCAGATGTCTTTTGAAGATAGGATAGCTGCTTATTTCCTTCACATCTGAAGGGAGGGCGTTCCACAGGGCGGGCGCCACTACCGAGAAGGCCCTCTGTCTGGTTCCCTGTAACTTGGCTTCTCGCAATGAGGGAACCGCCAGAAGGCCCTTGGAGCTGGATCTCAGTGTCCGGGCTGAATGATGGGGGTGGAGATGCTCCTTCAGCTATACTGGGCCAAGGCCGTTTAGGGCTTTAAAGGTCAGCATCAACACTTTGAATTGTGCTCAGAAACGTACTGGGAGCCAATGCAGATCTCTCATTATGTTATGTGGTCTCAGCGGCTGCTCCCAGTCACCAGTCTAGCTGCCGCATTCTGGATTAATTGCAGTTTCCGGGTCACCTTCAAAGGTAGCCCCTTAAAACAACAACATCAGACTTTGAGTGGTTTAGAAAAATCTGGAATGAGCAAATAATTAACGGGAAGGTGCAGGTAAATAAACAGGAATTCTGGATGACTGCTCGCAATATTGAATAACCTCTCTTGCAAACTAATCAGAATGAATACTTGATAAAGACCAGACAGTTCACAGGAACTTCCTCCCCTCCTCATTTGTGCATCACCACACCCTCCTCAAATCTGCTCCCGGGGGGAACCCCCAGAACAGAATATGGGTGGAGGAGAGGAGAGATTGTTCTGTTGATGAGCAGAAATGCTTGGCACAATCTAATGAGCACCAGGTTGAATACAACTCCATAGGCTCAACTCCTCTGTGAGGTCCAATCTGAGGCAAACAAACTCTCATAGCTCAGTCGGTAGAGCATGAGACTCTTAATCTCAGGGTTGTGGGTTCGAGTCCTGAATTGGGCAAAAGATTCCAGCATTGTAGTGGGGTGGACTAGAACGAACCTTGTGGTCTTTTCCAGGTTTATGATTCTATAAATGCAACTCATTGTCTAACCTCCACATAAGCTTTGTGCAAGCAAATCGGGACGAGAGCTCCGTAGATAAGAAGACTTTATTTATAATGACACCTTGTTTTTCAGGCAGCATGGAGGGATTTGAGCCACCCAGCTCCCCCACTTCCTTCCCCACCTCTTTCCCCCCAAACGCCTCCTACTCCGTGAGCGGCAGCCCAGCTTCTTCCGAGTCGTATGAAGACACCCCAGTCTCAGCCACAACGCCCCCCACAAGAGTGAAAGTGGATTTCAAGCAAAGGTCCCGACCTCCGGCTACAAGTCTGAACAAAGCGGTGTCGCTTAGTGAGTAGGAGCGATTCTGCCAAGATGGGTGGGGCGAGGGAGACACAGGAACCAGGCTGCTCAGAGAGGGGAATGTGAGGTGTGGCGAATGGATGGCTTTAATAGAGGGTTAGACAATATCATTGGGGTGCATGGGGTGTTAGAGGAGGGGTTGCACCTCTGTTGGGGGGTACATCATGCTTCTTCTGGGGTGGTTTGTCCACCTTGCACTCAGCTCTCACCTGCGGCTCCTAGAAGCTGCCAGCATGCGACAGCAGCCACACCTGGGAACGGCTTTGAGTGGCTGGCTAAACCAGTACAGTGGTACCTTGGGTTAAGAACTTAATTCGTTCTGGAGGTCCGTTCTTAACCTGAAACTGTTCTTAACCTGAGGTACCACTTTAGCTAATGGGGCCTCCCGCCGCCGCTGCGTGATTTCTTTTCTCATCCTGAAGCAAAGTTGTTAACCTGAGGTACTATTCCTGGGTTAGCGGAGTCTGTGACCTGAAGTGTCTGTAAACCGAGGTACCACTGTATCTGAAGAAGTGTGCATGCACATGAAAGCTTATACCCAGAACATACTTAGTTGGTCTCTAAGGTGCTACTTTTATTTATTTTGACTGCGTCAGATCAACATGGCTACCTACCTGAATCTGGCTATACCAGGTGAGGGGAGCCGAGGGGTCTCAAACCCTCAGTGAATTAGGATCCTCCCCTGCATGCAAAGACAGGTTTCGGTGGACTGAGTGAATGAGACCAATTGTGGGTCAACCAGTCAAGAAGGCGGTTTCTGCACATGCTGTAGAGGAGAAGAAGGGGTTTGGATTTGATATCCCGCTTTATCACTACCCTAAGGAATCTCAAAGCGGCTAACATTCTCCTTTCCCTTCCTCCCCCACAACAAACACTCTGTGAGGTGAGTGGGGCTGAGAGACTTCAGAGAAGTGTGACTGGCCCAAGGTCACCCAGCAGCTGCATGTGGAGGAGCGGAGACGCGAACCCAGGTCACCAGATTACGAGTCCACCGCTCTTAACCACTACACCACTACACCACTACACCACTACACCACACTAGAGGGGGCAGATGGGGCTCGTCCACCTGGGAAAAGATCATGGGCATAGCAGCTGCCCCCCTAGATCAAGCAAAGCAATAAAAATACTTAACTAACTTACCAATCTTGCCAGTTCTGTCCCACCCCCAACAAAAATCCTGGCTACATCCATTATAGTCCACCATTGGGAGGTTGGATGCTTCTGAATACCAGTACAGTGGTCCCTTGGTTCTCAAATTTAATCTGTTCCGGGAGTCCGTTCGACTCCCAAAACCGTTCGAAAACCAAGGTGCGGCGTCCGATTGGCTGCAAGAGCTTCCTGCACTCAAGCGGAAGCTGCGTCAGATGTTCGGCTTCCGAAAAACGTTTGCAAACCAGAACACTTACTGCCCGGTTTGTGGCATTCGGGAGCCAATTTGCTCGACAACTAAGCCGTTTGAGAACCAAGGTACCGCTGTAGCTGGAAATCGCAGGAAGGGAGAGTTCTGTTTTGCTTAGGTCTCCTGTTTGCAGCTGGCCACTGTGAGAACAGGACTCTGGATTAGATGGGCCACTGGTCTGATCCTGTAGGCTCCTCTTGTCCTTATGTGTTTGTTTCTAAAGGTGTTCCTTTATATCTGACACTCAAAGGGTTAATTGTGGTCCTTACAGCTCTCGTGGTGATGTGCACAGTGACGGGGGTTTCCGGACTGGTAGTTGCTGCTATGTGCTGGTACAGGTAAGAAATGTCCTTCCCCCATATTTGCTATGATGGTGATGATGATGATGATGATGATGATGTTAGCACAACAATGTCATTGGTACTTTACGAAGTTCCGCAAGCCAAAAGACCAGTCGTTGCCCCCAGTGAGATTAAAATCTAAATTCATTCAGGGACGAAGTCAGCATGCGAAAGAGAGAAGCAAAAACAAGAGAAAGGAGTGAGGCCTGCAACAAAACGTTGCAGCACAGAGAGCCTTTTGTTCAGGATTCCAGCTGCTCCCTCGCCCCTGGTTTCACATTCTTTTCCCCAACAGTACACACTGCAGGTGGAATTCAACATAGTGCAAGGAATGAGGTTGGCTTCCACAATGGGACGGTCCCTCCTCTCTCCGCCCCCCCCCCCGCCCCGGACCTCCTAAACCTGTTCTGGGATCTCCCCGAACCCTCCAGAGCACAACTGGGGGGTGCAGTAGGCGGGGGAGTCCTGTTACACAAGCCAAACTAGTTCCACACACAAAGCAACTTATTCGAATCCTGCCCCACACATTTGAAGCACGTGATTTCCCCCCCGAAGAATTTTGGGAACCACAGTTTCTCAACGGCGCGGGGAATTTTTAGCCCTGCCAGGGGTGAACTGAAATTCCCAGGATTCTCTCTGGGGAGAAGCAATGCACTTTAAATGTGTAGTTTGTATGCAGCTCGACATCCAGTATTCTGTGAATATGGTGCATGTTCCGTATACATTAGAGTTGTCAGGTTCCCATCATCACAATTACATCCCCCCACTCCTTCAAATGTACATATTTTGAACTCTTCCAAATCTTGGGACTCCCCCAACTCTGCTGATACATTGCTATTGTGCATGAGTGATGCAATTTTTTGCTAGGACATAATTCTTATCACGTATCAACAATGCCCTAGTATGATTCTGTAGAAAATCTATAACGTGTTGCCTTCAGACCATAATTTCATTTGCCTATTAATGTGAATGGGAGATAATGTCTAACTGAGATCTCTGCAGGCTGTGTGCTTTTTTCAGTTTGAATAAGTATACGCAAGTTTATATGCAGTTTGTACATAATTAATTGCATTTGTTTTTAAATGTTGAACGTTCAAGTGAGGGATTGCCTTTGTTGTTATAGCTCCTTTGAATAATAATTGACCCAAACAAGCTAGACTGTTTTGAAAACCAAATTCTCCAGTGTTTTTTTTTTGCAGCACCTTGAGATACAGTTGCTTTGGGGGTGTTTTTTTTGCTAGATAGCCACCAGCACTCACAACATTGAGCGTTTGAAATAAAGGGAATGAGATTAGATAGGTGAAAACACAGTTACGTAGGGTTGGCTTCCATAGGGGATGACGAAACAGTTTTGAGACAAAAGGTTGTGTGAAAGAGATGAAGCAACAGAGAAAATGCGTGCAGCAACAAAAGGCCAGAAGAGAGAGGGAGGAAGCTTGCTTCTTCAAATGTTTTTAATTATTATGTTTTTTAATTGTCCTACCTGTCAGGGTTGCATACATTGTCTCCCCCACCCTACCTCCAGATTATCCTAATAAGGACCCTTTGATGTAGATTAGAACCTTCATGTGGTTGGACATTTTAGGGGGTTCGGCTAGAGGATCTCTGGGGTCCCTTCCACCTCAACAATTCTATGATTCTACGACCGAGTGGGGATTTGAATTTACGTCTTTCTAGCCAAAGAGCAAGGGACGCGGGTGGCGCTGTGGGTTAAACCACAGAGCCTAGGACTTGCCAATCAGAAGGTCGGCGGTTCGAATCCCCGCGATGGGGTGAGCTCCCGTTGCTTGGTCCCTGCTCCTGCCAACCTAGCAGTTCAAAAGCACGTCAAAGTGCAAGTAGATAAATAGGTACCGCTCCGGCGGGAAGGTAAACAGCATTTCCGTGCGCTGCTCTGGTTCGCCAGAAGTGGCTTAGTCATGCTGGCCACATGACCCGGAAGCTGTACGCCGGTTTCCTCGGCCAGTAAAGCGAGATGAGCACCGCAACCCCAGAGTTGGTCACAACTGGACCTAATGGTCAGGGGTCCCTTTTACCTTTACCTAGCCAAAGAGCAGCGGTCTAGCCATCACTCCGCCTTGGGGCAGGGGGGTCACACATGATATCTAGAAGTTTTTTTCCTTTTTGTGAAAGATATCGGCCATTTCTTTTACTCTGCACATGCCCCAGCGCACTCTTTTTTTTTTAATCGTACTCTTGCCAATTTGATCTCCAAAGGCCCATATGCTGCAAGCAAAATATCTCCCTACCCCCCCCCCCCGCTCCACACAGAAGGAAATGTGGCCTGCCCGGGTTTAAAAAGCAGGAATATGAAAACGACGCAGGGAGGCTGTTCTCACGAGAGCTTTTGTGGTGATGCTGTAAACATGTGCTAAAACTCAAATTGCAGACTATGGGGTTGTTTGCTTGCCATGCTTAAAAGAAATCATCATACGATTCATTTCCAGGCTACAGAAGGAAGTACACTTGACTCAGAAGATGGCATATGCAGGCAGCCGGGGGAACCAATACCGATATCATCAGCCCAGCGCAGTATGTGACTTTGCCATTGGTTGAATGCTCACTTGGGGTGGGAGGTGCTGGGAGCCCCTGCCCCCCCTGACAGCCCTCAGATTATCACTTTAGAACCCAAGGGGGACATCCAATGGGGAGAATCAGGGGCAGGCGAAAGTCTGCAATTCTTTAAACCCAGTTAAACTTTGGAACTCTCTGCCACAAGATGCAGCGGCCACCAACTAACTCACCACCCTGAGAGCTATATATTACCTCTCGTATTTGGAGCAGTATATGCCGGTGAGCTTCCCAGCATCAGTTCAGCTACTCTGGGAAATAATAATAGTAATAATAATAATAATAATAATAATAATAATTCATTTATACCCCCGCCCATCTGCCTGGGTAAAAACAACACAGCATCAGACATCAAAAGCTCCCCTAAACAGGGCTGCCTTCAGTTGTCTTTTAAAAGTAAAATAGTTGTTTATTTCCTTGACATCTGGTGGGAGGGCGTTCCACAGGCCAGGTGCCACTACCGAGAAGGCCCTCTGCCTGTTCCCTGTAACTTGGCTTCTTGCAGTGAGGGAACCACTAGAAGGCCCTCGGCGCTGGACCTCAGTGTCTGGGCAGAACGATGGGGGTGGAGATGCTCCTTCAGGGACACTGGGCCGAGGCTGTTTAGGGCTTTAAAGCTCAGCACCAACACTTTGAATTGTGCTCGGAAATGGGAAGCTGTGCTAAATAAGCCTTTGTTTTGGTCCAGGCCGGGCTATTCTTACATTCTCTCTGATCCCCTCTAGTACATGGACTCCCGACTAGCTCAGTCGTGCCAAGTTCACCACTATCAACATCAGAAGAAGCTTCTCACCACAACCAGTCAGGAGTAAGTGTGCTCTTTTCCACATCTCTCCGTGGGAGTGGGAAGGTGGGGGCTAAGCAGTCACTAAGAGCAGAAAGGGGCTGCTTAAAGGCTCTCTGGTGAAACTTTCAGTCCCTTGAAAGCAGCTGGAAGAGGCCCCCCCCAGCCTGGGGCCATTGCAGATGTTTTGCTTGGTGGGGCGGGTGAAAGTTGCCATTCAAAACATCTGGCTGGAGAAATTTCACACTGAATGTCTTTTCAGGCTACAGGCATAGACCTGATTATTCTCCCCCCGTCTTTTAAACCACTTTTTAAAAGTGATTTAACTGTTTTAACTTTGTTGGGTTTCCCCCACTTTAATCTCTGTTTCCTTCGATTTGTTCCCAATCTTATTATTATTATTATTAAATTTATTTATTTGGTTATTCAAATTAGAATTTTACAGAAATATATCAAACATAAAACAAGATCCCAAGGAATCTCCTGGACTTCCATCCTCCCCTTTGTGGGTCCTGTTATTTATCATTTCCTTCTGCATCTTTTATGGTAGTCCAAATCTTTTACTTCTCCATTGGATCCGGAATTCACCCTTAAACTACAAGTGATATTCCAATCCTGCTAACGATTTTAACTGTTTACAATGGTCTTTAAAATAAGTTACAAATTTTTCCTAATTTGTTCCCAGGCATAACTGATGTCATTTTTCCTTTTTATCACACTGGATATTGTATATTTTATGTTGTCAGCTGCTCAGAGAACTTCTTTGTATCCTGTGGGGTAGCTCAGTCGGTAGAGCACAAGACTCTTAATCTCAAGGTTGTGGGTTTGAGCCCCACGTTAGGCGAAATATTTCTGCATTACAGGGAGTTGAACCAGTTGATCCTTGGGGTCCTTCCAATTCTACCATTCTATGATCTCATCAACACAAAGAAGTCTTTCTTTTTTCTGATCCTAATCCTACACTGGGACGCGGGTGGCGCTGTGGGTTAAACCACAGAGCCTAGGAATTGCCGATCAGAAGGTCAGCGGTTCGAATCCCCACGACGGGGTGAGCTCCCGTTGCTAGGTCCCTGCTCCTGCCAACCTAGCAGTTCAAAAGCACGTCAAAGTGCAAGTAGATAAATAGGTACCGCTCTGGCGGGAAGGTAAACAGCATTTCCGTGCGCTGCTCTGCTTCGCCAGAAGCGGCTTAGTCATGCTGGCCACATGACCCGGAAGCTGTACGCCAGCTCCCTCGGCCAATAAAGCGAGATGAGCGCCGCAACCCCAGAGTCGGGCACGACTGGACCTAATGGTCAGGGGTCCCTTTACCCCTTTACCTAATCCTACACTAGACTACGCTACGCCAAAATCTTTAAATGTTTCTTTGATTGTCCTTGAATCTTCCCACCCCATCCTTTCCTGCCACACTACAGGAGTAAATCCAGGAGCTGAGGGGTGGGGAGGATATATTTTTGGAAAGCGGCTGGAACCTTCTTTTATATATATATATATATTTATTAGTTTTTTAATATATCATTTTCAACAGTCATTCAACACAGGTCACATCTTATACAATTTTTTGGATTTCAACCACATCTGAATCCCCCCCCACTTAATTTACATTTCTTAATTTCACTCTTGCTTTTAATTATCTTATCTATTAATTCTCTCATCATAGCCTTCCTTACAATATTTCATATACTCCTCCTTACAAAACTTCTTGCAGTCCTACTAGCGTAATCTGTTGATTACAGTTGCTTTTCTCATATTTATTCCAGTCTTCTGAGAATCTCTGGTCCCGCAGGTTTCAAATCCTTCCTGTCATCTTATCTAATTCTGTATAGTCTGTGTCCAAACTTTTTTCAAAGAGGGCCAGATTTGATGAAGTGAAGGACCGTGAGGGCCGACCAAAGGGCCGACCAAAATTGTTGACCTTTTTTCAGGATTGAAGTTGTGGAGCTTTTTTTAATGTTGAAATTGTTCAGCTTCTTTTAGGATTGAGGGGTATTTTTTAGAATTTTAGCCAGGAAATAAACAGCCACAGGGGCTGGATTAAACCAACCGGCGGGCCGGATTAGGCCCCCAAAACAAATTTGGGGACATGCCTGCCTAGAGGTTTCCATTTCCTGAGGTCCCTCATCTCACACTGTTGCCTCCTTCCTTCAGCAGAGAAGCCCCCAAACCAGTAGAGCAGCTCTCCACGGAGTCAGAGACTGAGAACGGAGATTACACCGTGTACGAGTGTCCGGGACTGGCGCCGGTATGTATGGCAAGGTCCCAGGTTCAGTTTCTTGGCATCTCCAGGTAAGGCCAGTGCTGGCAGTCCTGGCCTAGACGAACCGATGATCTGTCTCCATATAAGGCACCTTCCTATGTGATTCGAAATGCTTCTGTGTGTGGTGTATGAAGGGAATTTTGCTGCCACAGGCAGAAACCCTGACGCCACCCCTGCCCTCCTGCTCCTTGCTGCCACATGGCGCCTGATACTCACCTCTGCCGGACACTCACCTTGGCCAGGTGCTTGCTATCGCCTGCTCCTGGACCCTGGTGGCAGTGGGGCAGTCCTTTAAAAGGTAAAAAAAGTAAAGGTAAAGGACTCCTGGACAGTTAAGTCCAGTCAAAGGCGACTATGCGGTTGGGGCGCTCATCTTGCTTTCCAGTGGCGTAGCGTGGGTTGTCAGCACCCGGGGCAAGGCAAGTAATTTGCGCCCCCTAACCCATGGATTTTGCGCCCCCTAACCCGTGGAGCGCGCCCCCCCAGATGTTGCGCCCGGTGCGGCCGGCCCCCCTGCACCCCCCACGCAACGCCACTGTTGCTTTCAGGCCGACGGAGCCGGCGTTTGTCCACAGACAGCTTTCTGTGTCATGACTAAACCACTTCTGGTGCAACTGTACACTGTGACGGAAACCAGAGCGCACAGAAATGCTGTTTACCTTCCCAACGCAGCGGTACCTATTTATCTACTTGCACTGGTGTGCTTTCGAACTGCTAAGTTGGCAGGAGCTGGGACAGAACAATGGGAGCTGACTCCGTTGCGGGGATTCGAACCGCCGACCTTCTGATCGGCAAGCCCAAGAGGCTCAGTGGTTTAGACCACAGCGCCACACACACTCACCCCTGGGTTGCCCAGAAGAAGGCAAACAGGGGGAAGATGGCCGCCATAGGGCAAGTAGAGGAGCAAGCTGTTGCAGCTGCTGGGGTTGAGGAGCAGGAGGCAGCAAGTACCTGGCAGAGGTGAAAGCTGGGCTCTGGGCACCTGCCATGTAGCAGTGAGGAGAGGAAGTGGCAGTGGGGGTACCAGCTCTGCTTGAGGCATACAGGGTGTGGTGTTGCTGCTGCCGGTGGCAAGGCAGGGGGAGGTGCAGCTCATGCCCCCACCCCAAACCAAGCTCTTCCTTGTTTCTCCTCTTTGGGCAATGGCTTCTCCTCTTCCTCTCAGGGTGACACCCTGAAGCAGCTGGCTTCAGACTGCTTCACGGACAGGCTGGCCGTGGGTGGGTGTTTTGCATTGGTGCATGAACCTGTCCTCAGAATACCCTTACGCCTTTTCACTGAGAAAAAAGAGAAATAATCCAGCCTAGAAGAGAAAGAAACGATCTAGTATAGTGTGGGTGTGAAATACCTTGGCTGCAGCGGTCGAAATTCTGGCAGTGGAGTTCTGCCCCAACTGAAGCTTCCATGTCATCTCTGAAGGCAGCCCCATGTATAACGCATTACAGTAATCTAGCTGGGAGGTTACCAGAGGCATGAATCACAAGGCAAGATTTATTTATTGAATGCGGTGAAAGGCACTTCAGCGATGCTGGTTCGATACCCTCTCTTTCAGAGCGTGCATAATCTTACCTACAACTAGTCAAATGTCAATTTCCCGGACAAGAGAACTACCTACCTCCAGTGCCTCCATTTTGTCAGAATGCAGTTTTGGTTGATTGGCCCTCCCATTGCCGAATCCAGGCATAAATTTTAATACTTGCCTCAGGTGACAAAGAGAAACAGAGCAAGTGGCACCCCACAGCAGTGGGGAGACTGTGACTCTTCAGATATCCTCATCCCTGACTGTGCTAAGTGGGGCTGAAGGGGGCAGGAGTCCAAGAACATCTGCAGAGCCACAGTTTCCCCACCCAGTTAAAGAGTGTGGAGGGCAAGATGAAACTTTGCAGAGCTCTATAGCATAGGCTGGGATGCGGGTGGCGCTGTGGGTTAAACCACAAAGCCTAGGGCTTGCCGATCAGAAGGTTGGTGGTTAGAATCCCCGCGACGGGGAGAGCTCTCATTGCTCGGTCCCTGCTCCTGCCTACCTTGCAGTTCAAAAGTACACAGTGCAAGTAGATAAATAGGTACCACTCCGGCGGGAAGGTAAACAGTGTTTCTGTGTGCTGCTCTGGTTTGCCAGAAACAGTCATGCTGGCCACATGACCCAGAAGTTGTATGCCGGCTCCCTCGGCCAGTAAAGCGAGATGAGCGCCGCAACTCCAGAGTCGTCCGCGACTGGACCTAACGGTCAGGGGTTCCTTTACCTTTACCTATAGAATAGGCTAAATAGGGTTGAGCAGCAAACTCCCAATGTTACTTTCTGAAACCAATCCTGTACAGTGGTACCTCGGTTTAAGAACAGTCCGGTTTAAGAACAATTTGGTTTACAAACTCCGCAAAACCGGAAATAGTGTCTTGGTTTGAGAACTTTACCTTGGTCTAAGAACAGAATCCGAACAGTGGAAGGGCACCAGCGGTGGGAGGCCTCATTAGGGAAAGTGTGCCTTGGTTTAAGAACAGTTTTGTTTTAAGAATGGACTTCTGGAACAGATTAAGTTCGTAAACTGAGGCACCACTGTAGATGGGAGTGGGACCACTGCGCCCCCTGCTCCAACCCACACAGCAGATCCAGTAGGAGATCATGGTTGGGCCTCAGAGAGGAGATCAAAGATAAAGCAATCATGCTTGCACTGCCTATCTCTCTTGGCAAGAGGTCACGCACAGGGCAGTTCTGGTGCCACCCCTTGACCTGAACCTGAATTGAAATGTCTAGAGATAATCTATCTTCCAATTGTGCCTGGAGCCAGACGCCCGCAATCTTCTTGAACACCTCACCTGCAAAAAACAAAACCAAAACAGGCTATTTGGAACAGGGTTGTTACAATTTTCTGAATTCAGGGTGGGTTTCTTAAGAAGTGGCCACACAGCTGCCTCTTTCAAGTAGGCCAGGACCTCACCCTCTTGAGACGTGGCGTTTATTATTTCCGGGAACTACTCAGCCAATCGCTTTTGGCTAGCTGCAATTAGCCAAGGTGGGCAAGGGTCAGGAAGGGTCAAGTTGCCAGCCAAACGCACCATGTCCGCAGCGACTGAAACCGATGCCGTAAACTCAGACTTGACTTCATATTACATACCTGCACAGGAATTATACCAGGACAGACACGGAGGTCAGAGGGGATATGATTCTGTTGCACATGTGGGTTGGCCGCTGGGAATTTGGTTCCTTTCCTTTTCCAAGAATGCTTTGATTAACAATTCCTCTTCTTCTCTTTCTGCAGAGTGGAGAGATGGAGATCCACAATCCACTCTTTGATACCTCCACACTAAACCGATGCCCTCCCTAAGTACATATCCTCTCTCTCTCTCTCCCCTTTCTCTTCTCATCCACATCTCCAACTCCTGGATTAATAGATCCAGCTTCAGATTCATAAAAAACAACAACAACCCACTCCCATTAGATTGTCCACCTTTCCTCTTTAAGGAAAGGCAGCTATGGTATGACTCACCCATCAGTCACACACACACACACACACACACACACACACACACCACCTTCATCTTCTGGGAATGGTTCAAAAGGGGGGAAACCGGCGTTAGGATCTATATTTTTAGAAAATATAGATCATCTTCAAATCCACATCTAGAGTTTCTGGTATTTCTCTCTTTGCTAGAAAACCCTTTTTTTTCAAGCTCTCCTATCTACCTGGAAGCATTTAGCCTAGAAAGCTGTGCAAGCCAGGGGCGAAACGAGGCTTTATTTCACCCGGGTTAAAGACCCATTTTGGCACACCCACACATTTGCGTGCACACAGAAACTGAGAGCCTGAAAAGCTCCCCTCTGGAGGCTTCACCCTGGGCAAAAAAACCTGGCTAGCCCTCCTGTAGCTACGGCTCTGTGTAGCGCATACTCTTATTTGAGTTGAGGCCATGGACGTCACTTCATTTCTTTATAGAGCGTACCAATTGCTTTTTTCCCTTTACCCAACCCCAAGTGATGTACAGTGTTAACAGGTCGCACTCAGCGGAACCCGAAGCAACAGCATCAGAATTGTTATCACTGCCCAACGTAACAGTGGCAAACATTACAGGAAAAGTAAGAGAAAAGGTATACAGAGAAGACACCTGGTGGATCTTCGTGGAGAGACTGTTCCCTACTTACGGTGCCACTACTGAAAAGGCCCTGCTCCATAACCTTAGATCTCATCTCTGCGTGGACTATAGAATCCTGGGCTCAAGCTCCTTTCCCCAGATGTGCATGCGTGTCACCATGTTTATATGACTACCTAATTCCGTGTCTATCAACGATGTGGAATCTGCACATGTAAGAAGCTTGCACGACCTCTGCCTGACTTGGAATTGCCTCTTGCTATCGCCTTTCCCGCCTTCTGGTCTTGTGGCTGCCTACGCTCCAAAAGCCGAACATGGGTTGGGATCCGTGCACTGTATGTAATAGCGCTGTACCTGTGTCTCAGTCAAATGTGTTGTTCTATTTACTTCCTCTGCAGCAAGTGACCTGGCTCACTTGCTCGAGTCGCTTGTAGCCGCAACGGTGCTCATTCGCAACCGCTCTCTGCTTGTGAGCTATGTGGGTTGGGGGAGAACGGACAGGCAGGGTATTGTGTTGACAAATAACCACAACACATAGCACCTTTGTACAGCGCTTTTCCCAGTGTGCTGAAAAGACTTCAGCTTTATGCATCCTTTTGGTAGCCTTAACCACAACCCTCCCGTGGAGTCCACCGTTACTATCCCCATTTTACAGATCTGGGCTCTCAAAGGTAGAGAGAGAGGTGAGCTTGCCTAAGAACACTCAATGATTTCATGGCAGCACTAGTTGCCATATGTCTGGAATTTCGTGGACATATCCAGAATACTGCAGTTAGCAGCAGTGTCCAGTTGGAAACTGGCAAATGTCTGGGATAATCTAGACATATGGCAACCCAAGTCTGCAGTGTCGTTTTTGCCAGTTTCCCATTACAATAGCTCGAATATCCTCAACACCTTTGGCCAAAAAAAGCTCAGCAACTTCCCTGTCTGGATTTCCATCGGCAACCCTATCCTAGACCAGCCTACCTGGTGATTTCCAGCTCTTTTGGACTACAACTCCCATCTGTGCTGGCTGGGTCTGATGGAAGTTGTAGTCCAAAACATCTGGAGGGCACCAGGTTGGAAAAGGCTAGTCTAGAGCCACGCAAGTATGTGGCTTTGCACAGTGGCTTCTAACCAACTGGGAGCCACAGTACAAGCCCCCAAATGCATGAGGACCTCCTGAAATTCAACCAGCAAATTCTGCTGGATATTCAGTCTTACTGCATGACAGTAATTGAGTCCTGCAAAATACAGTGGTACCTCTAGTTACAAAAGTAATTCGTTCCGGAGCTCCGTTCTTAACCTGAAACTGTTCTTAACTAGAGGCGGGTTTTCGCTAATGGGGCCTCTGCGCCACCGGCACACGATTTACGTTCTCATCTTGGGACAAAGTTCTCAACTTGAGGTAACTCTTCCACGTTAGCGGAGTTTGTAACCCGAAGCGTTTGTAACCTGAGGCGTTTGTAACTCGAGGTACCAATGTACAGTGGTACCTCAGGTTACATACGCTTCACGTTACATACACTTCAGGTTACAGACTCCACTAACCCAGAAATAGTGCTTCAGGTTAAGAACTTTGCTTCAGGATGAGAACAGAAATCGTGCTCTGGCAGCGTGACGGCAGCAGGAGGCCCCATTAGCTAAAGTGGTGCTTCAGGTTAAGAACAGTTTCAGGTTAAGAACGGACCTCCGGAACGAATTAAGTACTTAACCTGAGGTACCACTGTACACCATACTGGTGGTTCTCAATCAGTCTCCAGGGGAATCCCAGCTTTGGAAACTAAACAGTAATGTCAGGCAAACTTCAACAGGGGATGGCTACATTTTAAACACATTGCCTGAATCATCTGTGTAGTCACATCACCTTTTTCTGACTTCCAAAGCATCCCTTCTCCTGATTCCTGCCTGGCAATAGCTAAGGATTACTAACAAACAGAATGGAAAGTGAGAGCTGAGTTAGGCCTTGGTTGAGCCCAAACTATGGCCTACCATTCATGAGCAAGCGTACTGGTGCACCGGGGGGCGGGATCACAGCTGCCTCGCTCCTGAGCTACCAGGAGATAAACTATGGTTTAGTGTTGCATTTGAATCCAGGTTCCATGATCCAACCGTGTCCCTATTTTCCAGGGACAGTCCTGGGTTTACAAAAGCCGTCCTGGTTTCTGATTCGATCCTGGAATGTCCCGTTTTTCCTGAGGGTGTCCCTATTTTCACTGGAGAAATGTCAGAGGGTATGGAGTTGTGGGATCCAGGAGCCAAGGAGATAGAAGTTTTTGAGTGCTTAATGTTTTATTATCATTTTTATATATGTTGGAAGCTGGCCTGAGTGGTTGGGGCAAACCAGTCAGGTGGGCGGAGTTTAAATAATAAAATTATTATTATTATGGAATGGGGTTTCCCTATTTTCATCAGCGAAATGTTGGGAGGGTATGGTTCTCTCCCACCCCCACCCCATGGTAGGTCAAAGAATAAACCTTGGTTATATCTTGTGGATCGTCTGGGGTGAGAAAACTGAAAAGCCTGGTACAGTGGAACCTTGGTTTTCAAACTTGATCCTTTCTGGAAGACTATTCAGCTTCCGAAAAGTTTGAAAACCGAGGATCAATGGGCTGGCTGCAAAGTCAATGGGAAAAAATGAAAAACGCGGCTCGGAAGTCGTTCGAAATTCGTTCGAAAACCAAAGCAGTTAGTTCCAGGTTTTCAGCATTCGGGAGCCAAAATGTTCCAAAACGGAGGTGTTTGGGAACCGAGGTTTGACTGTAACACTAAGCCAAACTATGGTTAACTCTCGATAGTATGGCAGCAGCAGGGGTGGGGGAAGAACGAAGCAGTTATGGTCTTCCCCTCCTAGTTTACCAGCAAGTTTGCTCCTTCACAGTAAGCCATAATTTGGCTTCCCGTGATCTGTCAATCAGGCCTTAAGCAACCCTAAGACACCACGTCAAAATGACTAATCTGTAGTACAGAAGCCTCTCCAAATTCTCAAACACCCACAGCATGTCTGTCTGTTTGGCTCCTCAGCCAAATAAAAAAGGTCCCAGAGGAGTTTATATGTCTCACAATACAACAATACCCATCTCTATAAAGGGGAAAGCTCAGCCTCAGGGTACAAACTTCTCATATGCTCACCTGCTCTTATTTTCTGGTACCTCATGAAGTGGACTCCCTGGTCCACAAAGGCTTTTACCGTAATAAATTTGTTAGTCTTCAGTGTGCCACAAGACTCTTTGTTATTTCTGGTACAAACGCAAGCTCTTCCCCGGCTAGTAGGGGCTAAAATGTTGTTACGGTCAACATTGTACAGATTTGAGTTGTTCCACCTCAGTAATATGAGGGTAAACATCTTGGCACTGTGCCGTGAGCAGACTGCCATTGTGCGTACTGCATCTGCTGAAATAACAAATGATGATGATGATGATGATGATGGACTTGGTTTGCCCATTACGTTACACTAAAGCAAAGCTTAGCACAAACAGGCGGATTTCTAGAGCAGAGATAGGAGTGCAGTCGCCGCAACTGTCTCTCTGAGAACCTGCATGTTTGCTTGTTTGTGTGAAACCATGGTTTGGCTGGAAATGGGCAGAAACATTATCAATTGGAAGCATGTGGTTGCAAAATGAAGAATATCAGACTTCAGCAATATGCAATAGGAAACAGGCTTGGATAACAGCCCTTGAGATGGAGGTCTTGTACAAGCAGGTCTCTCTTCAGATGTGAAATGTTGATGGTATATACTTTCTTCAGTAGGAACAACACACACACACACACACACACACACACACACACACACTTCCCCCTACCTCTGAGCACACACCTGTGGTGTTTCCTGCATCTGAGATGCATCAGCCGAGTTTGGTGAATTTGAGTGTGCATCAAAACACTCTGTCTCTGAAAGGCAATTTCCCAACTGCACTGCCGGCAAATCAGATTGGGTAACCTCGGGTTTGCCCTTGACATTTCTCACATCCTCCTGTAGGGTGCAGAAGGGCGACAGGCAAAAACAGCAACAGGAAGAGCCCCCTTTTATGGGTCACCTGCCACAGTTCCTCCCGTCCACGGCCTTCCATGCATCCCGCAGATTTCTGATTGTTCCTGCAGCTAATAAAGCCTTGAAACACTTGCCGGGGGGGAAAGGGGGGGGCTTGTATCTGTAAGCCATCTTCCCACCATTGCTGCAGCCACTTCCTTCCCTTTCCATGGCTCCTTCCCAGTCTGTTAGGTAAAGGTAAAGGGACCCCTGACCATTGTTCCAGTCGCGGACGACTCTGGGGTTGTGGTGCTCATCTTGCTTTATTGGCCGAGGAAGCCAGCGTACAGCTTCCGGGTCATGTGGCCAGCATGACTAAGCCGCTTCTGGCGAACCAGAGCAGCGCACGGAAACACTGTTTACCTTCCCGCCGGAGCGGTACTTGCACTTTGTGCTTTTGAACTGCTAGGTTGGCAGGAGCAGGGACTGAGCACTGGGAGTTCACCCCGTCGCGGGGATTCGAACTGCCGACCTTCTGATCGGCAAGCCCTAGGCTTTGTGGTTTAACCCACAGCCCCACTCATGTCCTTCCCTTTCCATGGCTCCTTCCCTGCCTGTTACAGTGGCGCAAAACTTGACTCTGTTCATTTGATTGACCACAAACTTTGAATAAATGAGGGGTCGGTGTGTTTTCCCCATTTGGCAAATTTCTCGGATGCGGGAGAGGAAAAGTTATTTGTACCACCACAGTCTTACCTTTTAAGGAATGGACTAAAAGGAAACCCATCTTGGTCTCTCCTTCTTACTGGTATCTTGAGGAAGGTGTTTTAGACTGAGCTGGGGCACAGATCCACCAAGCTCAGCATTCTCGTTACATCGATTGGCAGCGGCTTCCTGGGGTTTGGCGCCAGACCTACTTGGGTGTAAGGTACACGGGTGGCACTATGGTCTAAACCACTGAGCCTCTTGGGCTTGCCGATCAGAAGGTTAGCGGTTTGAATCCCTGTGACGGGGTGAGCTCCTGCCAACCTAGCAGTTTGAAAGCATGCCAGTGCAAGTAGATAAATAGGAACCGCTGCAGCTGGAAGGTAAGCAGCATTTCTGTGCGCTCTGGTTTCCGTCACAGTGTCCTGTTGCGCCAGAAGCAGTTTAGTCCTGCTGGCCACATGACCCAGAAAGCTGTCTGCAGACAAACACCGGCTCCCTCGGCCTGAAAGCGAGATGAGCGCTGCAACTCCATAGTCGCCTTTGACTGGACTTAACCGTCCAGGGGTCCTTTACCTTGGGTGTGCCTCAATGGGAGTCTTTTGCATGGAAAACATGAATGCAACTATTGAGCCTATGGCCTTTAAATGCCTTGTTAAAAGTGTTAGAGCTCCACTGTCAAACTGCTCAGAAATCCTTTCTGCTGTTTAGTTTGAATCCTTTCTTGTAACTCCATGCCCCTCTCCAGCAAGAGAAAACTCCATGCCCCTCTCCAGAGCAAGAGAAAACAAACTTGCTCCATCTTCATATTTGAAGTGGCTATCGTATCTACTCTCCGTCTCTTCTTTCCCAGGCTAAACATACCCAGCTCCCTCAACCGTTCCACATAAGGCTTGGTTTCCAGACCCTTGAACATCTTGGACTCTGCACACATGGCTTGACCCCCCCCCCCACAAACAGGGTGGAATGAATGCTCAAGAAACAGCGAACATCATATAAACCTCCCCACAAACACCCCAAAATGAAAAACCCTACAGAAATGTATAAGGAAGTTAATTCTGTACATGGGGTAAAATGTTATAAATTCAGGACAACAACACAGGTCAACTCCCAAATTTCTTGTTGCTTTTTAAAAGTTCATAAACAGGCCGGTGTCTGTTTCTTCATTGACAGGGATTTTTCCAAGGGTTCAAACCCTGCTCAGCCATGAAGCCCCCTGGGTGATCTTGGGCCAAGCCACTGTCTCTCTGCCAGACCGCACAGTGTTGTTGTGAGGATAGAATCAGGAAGGGATTCTAACGTCCAGTGGTTTGTTAGCCCCAAAATGTAAAAATGAGCGAGGTCCCAGCTAAAGAAGAATGGTCACTTAAGCTGATGGAATATGCGCAGCTTGCAGGTTCAACATACAGAATAAGAGGAGGAGGAGAACATATGTTTAAAGAAGAAAGGTAAATGTTTATTGAATATATGGGGGGCGATTGTGTACACTTGAAAACGCTGGCCGCATTAAGATAAATCCAAGAGTGTAAATAAGTTTTGATGGATGTAATAATGGAATACTGAATGGTTTAGTTAATGTAAAATATGCAGGGATTTATGGCATGCAAAATGAACCATGGAAAGAGAAGAAGGGAAGTCACTGATATGTTATGGATGTTTA